TCACATGGAGTCTGATAGGCTTTCAGTGCGTGCCAGCTTAATGGCCTTCTCGACACTTCCAAGCAATTCAGGGACATCACCGGTGCTAGAGATTTGGCGTTTGATCTGGTTGAGCTCTTCCTCCTCGGCATTGCCATCTTGCAGATGCTGGATAATGAAGTCGGCAAAGGCGCCCTTGTTCTTCACCAGCTGATCGAACGTGCCACTCTCACTGATCTCGCCCATTTTCAACACATAGATGCTGTCCACCTGGGGCAGGAAGGTGACACCGTGCGTGACCAAAACGCGAGATTTGCGTGCCAAAAGTCCTTTCGGTCCGATCACTTCTTCGAAGATGTGTTTGCCTACATGCGAATCGACGGCACTCAGGGGATCGTCCAGCAGATAGAGATCTGCGTCGCAATAAACGGCTCTGGCCAGGGAGATGCGCTGCTTTTGGCCACCTGAGAGATTAATGCCCTTCTCACCGATTTCCGTGAGATCTCCGGCCGACAGAATATCGATATCGGCACGCAGGGCGCAGGCATCGATCACCTTGTTGTAGCGCTTCCGGTCGTACGTCTGGCCAAAGAGGATGTTGTCACGGACCGTCGCATTCTGAATCCACGCCTGCTGCGGCACATAGGCCAGCTTGCCCACCGTGTTGACTTCGCCCGCAAGTTTCTCCATCTCACCGAGGAAAGCCTGCACCACCGAGGACTTACCGGAGCCGACGGTGCCCACCAGAGCCACCAGATTGCTCTTACGCACCTCAATGTTGATGTTTCTTAGCGTAATTTCATCGCCCCACGAAAACTCGCCATTCTCAATGCTCATGGGATGGGCTGCAATTAAAGAAAACATTTTAGATATAATCTTTCCAATTGTAATATTCAATTACGTTTGGAGGAATCATGGAGTACGCTGTTGGGGTCCAGTTCTTCACTGTTCAGGAACTTGTTTATACGCTTCACAGAAACTTGCGTCTATCGATCCGCACATGGAAAAGAAAATCGATTAGAAATGCTGAACAACACACGGAAGTTTTCACACAGAATGGCGGTTAGTAGATGGGAGTTTTGTATAGGGGGAGAGTTGGGAAAGAAATGCTCCAGTCCAGAATTTAATGAATGCGTGGTATCCTCGACATCTACCGAGGTCATTAAATACCGCCTGCAGAAAGACGAGTATTTAAGGCATAAGGAATGGGAAGACAAAAGGGGAATGACTACCGCTAAGCAGAAATTTTTTCTGAGAATATTAAATTAGTTAATTTAGATAAGTTCTTTCTATTAATATTAATATGAATATAATCTCAAGGCGAGTACACCTACCACATGACGTGGCACACCGATGCTAGACTCGAGACACACAAGTGAAAAGAGAATGCTCGAGAATGGTAAGTACATTGATGCTAGAGTCATGTTTTGCTTATATTTTTTAACTGCTTCCTAATTCATTAATTTACGATAATGGAAAATAAGATTTTAGATGGAAATAAGAGTAACGGACAAATAATGTATATCAAAATATTCCCACCCGAAATACTACCTACTGCAAGAGATATCAGAGATAAAGCCAACAATTATATTCAAATGGAAAAAGCAGAGACCCACAACCAGAGGTCAGAGTATGGGGAAAATCGGAATTTGTATTGGTTCGGACAATTGTAGATCCCAGAGGATGAATGAGATGAAATAAATTTGGAATATCTTTTGAGGATTTCCTAAACGGATCGGTTCAGTGGTTAGAGGAGGTGTACGGGTTGGGGTGGGGATGTAAATTTGTTTTCGGCTAAAAAAAGAAATCAAATTTAATAAAATAAACATAAATCACAATCACAAAAACGTCACAGTAGCTGGGAACCAATCACAATGGGGGGCCCGGGGAGAGAGATCCAAAGTGTGGCAGAACCCCTTTCCATCGAGGGGCCCCCCACTGTGATCGAATTGAACGATATTGCAATTGGGATTAAACTTACTTGCACCAGGTTGGTGATCAGCATGGGCAACATTGTTAGCGGAAAACGAAGAATGTTGAATAATGATAATGAGACAAAGGTTTTGGTGGCATCAAGCACATTATTTTCATCGATTAGAACGTAAGTGGCAAATGTGACTAATGAAACCTAAAAGATAATACACGAGATTGTTTTAAACGATTTGCATTTGAATTCAAAAGTTTTGATTTTGGTTTGGTTTTTGTTTTGGTTTTGGTATGGATTTTGGAGTCGAGTCGATTGCGATGCACCATAGCCGAAGAGTAGGAAAAGATGTTTGTGCCGCTTCCATCACTATCACTATCTTTCTATCATCCTCATCATCACAGCCTTTACCTCGGCTATGTCAACTGTCAGCATGGGCAAGACGGTCAGCGGGATTTTCATGATGTCGAATAATGCGAGACTGACAAACACTTTTTCGACGCTCAGCTGATTCGCCTCGCTGGTCAACACGTAAGTGGCAAATGTGACCAGGGAAACCTTTTGTTTTTTTTTAGATATTGTATATAGACACATTCGGATAGTTCCAAGATTAGTCCAACAGTCCAAAAATTCATCGGCGGCGCACTGCCACTGCCGGCTGCTGTAAAGAGATTTCAAAGTTTCGCCCGCCGTCCGGGACGTGGGCATATCTTACCAGGAAGGGGGCACATGACCACAGGAATGATGTGCTGGCATTCAGATAGGCCGTCGATCGTAGTGTGGCTATCTCCTTGTCACGGATGTCCAGCACTTGCTTCTCAAAGCTCGGCTCCCAGGCATACAGCTTGAGGACCTTTACATCCAAGGAATATACAATATATAGAGCATTAGAGAAATATCTTTAGATAGCATTTAGGTTTCGCGACTCACCTTAATGCCACTCAAAACCTCATTCATCAGCTTGACACGCTCATCCTTGTACTTCATTTGACGTATCTGATAGGTCTTGATGCGACTGGCAATCACACCATTCACCGGAATGAGTATAATCATCACAGCCAGGCCGGCGAGCACAGAGGGGCCCAACTGCTGCCACAGGAAGAACAAAGCCAAACCGATTTGCAGTGGCGCCGACCAGATCATGTTCAGGTACGTGGTCAATTCCATGAAACGTTGCGCATCCACGGCCATCAGGTTGACAATCTCGCCGACAGTGGACTCCTTTTTGGTGGCATTGGAGATGCGCAGGGCCTTGCGATAGATGGCATTGATGAGGGCGGTGCGAATGCGCAGGCCCACAATGAACATGCGATGGAAGTATTGGCCGAGAATGAAGGTCTGGGCAGCGGCCAGGATGAACAGCACAACGGAGTACAGGATGCCCTTCCATTCGGGCTGGGGATCGGTCTCCTGGTGCTCCACAAAGCTAATTATCAGGCTAAGCACCTGGGGCTGGGCAAAGGTCAGGGTATCGGTGATGAGCTTCATGAGGGCTCCGAACAAAAAGACGCCGCCAAAGGACTTGTAAATTGGCGGCATAATGCTGGCCATGCCCTTCTTGCGTCCAGTCTTCTCTCCGTGCGGATTCTCGAACGTCACATTGCCATTGCTAAACTGAGCCTTGGGCTCCACCTTGGCGCGGCCCTTGTAGTTTTTGCGCACATTCTGGTTCCAGTGATAGGCAAAGATGGGCATCACCTCGGAGCAACTGTCCTGGGGACGCAGATCCCACAGATCCTTCTCCTCCAGCGGATTGCGGTAGCCCTTGAGGGCCATCTTATCGAACCACTGGTACGTGATTCTCGACAGGAAACTGGCCGACAGTTCGGGTATCTCGTTCTCGCCTCGCTGGTACTTGGTCTGCCTGGGCTGGCCATCGGCGAAGCAGTTCAGCAGCAGCATACAGCAGTAGAAGGTGAACGACACGAAGAAGCTCACGTACATGTACTCCTCCCAGGAGAAATCCGATTCGGATGGCTGCTGAGAGTCGTTGATCTTGCTGCGTTCCGATGCGGCGCTCACCTCGGTGCGACAGCGCGGGATAGCGAACACGGTCAAAAGGAACCAGAACAGGAACTGGCAGCCGGTTGTCTGCACACCGTACTTCCGATTCAGCGGTATGAAGATGAAGATCAGCAGGAAGGTGGCAAACTTGATGATGGGACCCCACACATCAAGGTCGTACAGAGGTAACTCCGAGTCGCCGCCCTTCTTGACCAGCGCCATGATCAGGTCGAGGGCATTGATCACCAGAAGTCCGAGATTCACCAGCAGCTTGCTCACGCTCAGCTTGTTCCATGGTATATTCCTGTCCAAGCTGGCCTTTAGATAATAGAAATCAAAGACCACAAATAGCCAGTAGAAGGCGCAGGGCGTCCACACGAGGGCGGTCTGTTCGAAGCAGGGCGTAAAGTCCGGATTGTTTGTATACCAGGTCTCTGTGGAGTTCTACAACAGACACGACACACAAGAAAAACCAATTAAAAAATAGTTATAGTTAATTGATTAGAGGAATTCGATCGGTAGATCTATGCAATGACGCACCCAGAATGTGGATCCACAAAACCTGTCCATCGGCGAACCAATATCCTCCGCCATTGCTCTCTGATCGTCTTTTAGTGCCTACACCACGTGCAGTTCTTGCGGGAATTGTTGGGATAAAACTTGCAACTATAATAGAAGAAAAAAAAAACAAAATTTAACCAGCTGTTCCGTTCTCAAGCGGCGCAACAACAACTTGCTGTTGGTATTTTTTGGATGGTATTTCAGTTTCTATAGTAACCAGCGCTGCCAACTTTTTAGCAGAAACTAGCTATTTCGGCTTAAAAGTGAAAAAATATCTTTAAAAATAGCATTATTTTATAGCAACATATAATAACGCTAAAATTATGTTGTCTATTCCGACCGGCTCATGTATGCAAATCTTGACAGCAGATACACATCAGATGCCTTGATTAGTATCGAGCTAAATTATTTTTGCGAGAAAAATATTATTAAAATCTAGCATATATATATAAGTATTAAATCCAGCTAATAGCCAGAACTAGCGCTAAAAGAGCTGATTTGGTATTATTACCCTAATCACATACGGTCACGCTTTATTAAATTGTGACAAGTTGTCAGCCCTGCTGGCAAATTCAGAAAAATTTGTGCATGTAGAAAATAATCAAAGTTATTTAACGCTCTATTTAGATTGTGATTTGAACGCGCGAGCTGAGTAAAATATAATCATGGCACGCCGCACAAATTTCATCGATGGCAACGACAGTTTTCGCGATCAGAATCTACGTTTTGTTCGGGTAAGCCACAAACACCGCAGCGAAGAAGAAGAAACGCTTTTTTTTTCTACGCCAAAAATATATATGTATGAACTCTTTCTTGGTTTTCTTTGCCGGCACAGAATGAGTTTGAGGATAATGTTAACCAGTTCTTCGGGGGCGCCAATCCATCTGGCAATATACAGCAGCAGCAGCAGGCGCCACCGCGGGATGCCCTGATTGTGCAACCCACACCAGGTGAGTCCGACCGGGTGGTGACTTCCCTGCCGACGGTGGAAGCCCAAGAATGTGCGAAATTCTTGCCGGCCAGGCATGACACCAATTTTATTGTGAACAATTGCGCATATCTTTTGAACGAGCTCTTGCCGTGGGGCTAATCTCTACGAGTGCGGAATCATGTCTTTCAGATAGCCATCTTTTCGCCTCTTGTCGCTATCGATTGCGCGCGCGGTACCGTACCCCTAAGTATAGTACAGTGAATGCGCGCTAAGTTTTACACAGGGCAGGCCAAAGGTGTCACTTGAATGGCTTTTTATTTAAGAACCACACCACTAGCTATAGTTTTTAATCTTTGTTTATTTTATTTTTTGGTAAGTGTATGGGAAATCCGACCCGAAGGTCTCCCCTCCACCCACTCCAGTGTCGCTGGGCAGTCTTTTATGTCACTGTCAATGCCAAATATGCAACAAAAAACTAGTTTTTACACAAGAAACAAAAGTTAATCTTGGACCACCAGACGAAGCCCCCGGGAGGAGGAGAATTTTAAGGCGGCTAAGGCGGTGTGGCCTGGCCGCTAGTCACATTTTATGAGCACTAAAAACTTGTTTTGCCGCGTCGTCCCGTGTTTTAAGCATTTGGCCTTAGATAAAATTCTAGCCGTTGAAAACAAGTATTAGATTTTTGATATAATTAGCAGCGAAAACCAGTTCCCCCCCATCCATCCCATCAAGCAATTATATAATTTTTTCAACAAAATAAAAGTTCCCCTCTTTTGACAAACATTTTCAATTTCATATAAGTTTTCGCTTTTCCTGAAATTTCACTAACGAAATTGTGCACTGTCATGATGAGATGCTGGTTAGATCTGGCTAGATCCCCAGAGATTCATCTGATAAAAATACTGCCTGGTTCATAAGACCTTTCCTTGTTGAATGGAAATTTGAGCTTAAATTTGTTTGCTTTTCAGCCGGTATATGTATGATGTGATATGCTATATTTATTGTTATTTCCCCTCAACGCTTCTTGATATACAATATTTATAGACACTTGACAGTGTTTGTCCGCAACCGAAGCGATAAGGCGGAGTGTATATTCTGGCCCTCAAGAAGTCCTCTTCCCGGTTGCTCACTGTTTTTTCCAGTTTCCCCCTATCTACTATATCTTTTTTGTATTTTGTCACGAAATGGCTTCTTATCGGCTCTGTTATACTAGATGCTTCTTTCAGAAAACACTCCGCAACAGTCTCTTTCTAGTTTTGAATTGCATTTTATAATCCTGGCCGCTTCTTATCGCCTTCACACTTGCTCTAGTTTGTTGTTCCTGTTCTACGAGCAACAACAATATAAGTTTCATGGCTACTTTATGTTCCGACAAGCCCGCGATTATCAAGACCTCCAGCTGAATCTGTCGAAGCTACTATAGATACCATCGTTCCAAGGCCTGTTAAAAACGCGTTTGCCCATGACGTCAACACGAATTACAGAAATCTAGCCATAGCCATAGCCTATTAGTTGCTGTTTTTGTTTTTGTTTTCTCTGCCATTTGTACATGTGTAATTTCATTCGTATAACCTTGCCAATACCAATTTAATTATTTTTGTATTTTTTATCAATTAAATAATCGCGCTTGAAGCATGACAAAACACTAATTGTTGTTATCAAACAATTTGGAACGTGATTCACCTAACAACCACCCCACCAAAAAATGCGGGAGAAATGTTTGAGCGCGGGAAATCCGTTTGAAATATTTCACAATTTCTAGAAACAAAACTCACGCACCACCACTACGCACACACACTTGTTACGCCTCGCGAACGGACGAACCAGAGAATCGATGCGATGCGATGCGACCAAAATGTCACTTATAATTACCTCTACGTATACGGCGGGCGGGGGGAAAGAATCAAATCGAATCGGTTGAAAGGCGGGGCACACAATGAAAAGACTGAACCGGCTCGCAACGAGCTGAAAAGTTAACTGAATGGCAGCCAAACGTTGCGGACAAACTTATTTGTTTGGCATTTCAATATACGAACGAACCGCACACACAAAAAAAATATATGCACAAAAGAGAGCGCTGATATACCCCACAACGACGCAGAGAGGGAGATAGACTAAACCCTATATAAAGAGAGAGATATGGGTGAAACAAAAAGAAAAAAACCCAGCAACACGATAGATAGCGGGTGTTAAAAGAGAGAGAGAGAGGAGGGCGCCATACTCTCTCTCTCAGACTTTGATCAATGAAAAAGCTGTAAAGCCCGGCTTGAAGTTACAGTTAAAGCCAGCATGAGAGCTGGTCACACTGCAAAACACTGGATTAACTGTGTATTGGCACTGTCATTTGTCGTGGCCAGAGATAACGCCAGCCTACACTCAGTCTCTCCTCTCTTAATACCAAGAACCTCTCGAATTGAGTGATATACATACAAATATATAAACACTTTCCAGATGTGATGAAATAATTTGAGCCCCAAAGAGAGATAACTAAAACAAAAGCAGGCAACTCTTTAAAACAACAAATCAAATCAACTTCAAAGGGGCTGTGAGGCGGCAGCAACCCCAAATGTGGCATATTTAATGGGTATCTTTGGTGTATTTGTAGCTGTATATTTTGTAGTGTTTTTGCTCACGTTTTATTATTACTGTTATTTATTTATTAATGAAAACCTTGAAAGTTTCGTGTGTAGACAGGAAACCCCAGTGACTAGTCTTAACCAGAGTTCTTCCTTCCCTCCTTCTACACTTTTACACAGACGGCAATGAGCTGGACAGTCGCCGGCAGTTTCTGCGCCACTTGGGCGCCAGTCCGGCAGTGGCACACGCCCTGGCCATGCGCACCCTCGAGGTGCCTAATTTTGATCTGCGCCACTTCCAGAGGCGCCGCTATCGCCTCAGCGTGGAGCTGGGCGACTGTCGGCAGCCCGAAGTTGATGCCGTTGTGCTTCAGTCGATCGGCACTCTGGTGGAGAACTCCGAACAGAATCGAATCCAGAGTCGTCTACGTCCACGCACACCGTCGCCGCCGCGCAACATCAACTGGCACAACAACCGCGAAATATCGCCGCAGCAGATTGAACGATCGCGTCCACGCACACGCAATGTCGATGATAATATTCGGGGCCGTCCCAGGGGCGCACCAGTTTCCAGGGAGAACTTTCCAGCAGCTCCAATGGATGCTGGCCCACCCCCAGGTCGCAGGAATGAGATACCATCGCCAGGTCGTCGGGATGATGTCCCACTTGCTCCCAGAATGAATGTTCCACAAGGTCGCAGGAATGATGCACCACCGGGACGCAGAGATGTTCCACAAGCTCGCAGAAATGATGCCCAACCTGCTCCCAGAATGAATGTTTCACAAGGTCGCAGAGATGCTGTCTCACCAGGACGCAAAGATGTGGTTGCTTTTGATCCGAGAGACAATGTTCCACCAGCACGCAGGAATGATCGCAGCGATGCTGTTCCACCTGCTAATGTACCACAAGGTCGCAGGAATGATGGCCCAACAGGACGCAGAGATGCTTTTCCACCTGGTCCCAGGGAAAATGTTCTACCAGCACGCAGGAATGATCGCAGCGATGCTGTTCCCCTTGTTGACAGAGAGAATGTAGGACGCAGAGATACTGTTCCTTCTGGTCCCAGAAAGAATGTACCGTCGGGGCGCAGAGCACCGGCTGTTCCAGCAAATCCCATCAGGGCGGCAATCCCAACAGTTCCCATGCAGTCAATACCACCTCGTGGCAAACAGACGGCTGCTGTTGGTCCCAGAAAGACCGTTCCGCCAGTTCGCATGGATCCGGTTCCACCTGTAGTTCGGACACAAGATCCTAGTGAGGTCCTACCACCAGTGCGAGGGAATCCTGGTGCCCCAATTCGCGGAAAGCCAGGCCCCCTCGGTCGCGGGAAGCCTGGTCCAACCGGTCGCGAACCTGTCGCAGGTCGCGGCCCTCCAAATCAAGGAAAGCAAAATCCAAATCCTGGTCCCAACATTCGCGGAAAACCTGGCCCATCCGATCGCAGGAACAATATTCAAGGTCCAGCTGACCGCGGACAGTTTGTTGCAGGTCGTGAGGCACCTATTCTTCCAGGTCCCAGGCAGACAGGCTCACCCGGTCGCCGAGACAATAGTCAAGGATTTGTCGAACGAATTGATCTGACGCAGATGTCCAGCCATGAACGCAGTCCTTCGCACTTTGACGGTGCTCGCAATGATTCCTACCCGAATATTCGCCCAGAGCGTAACCCAAACAATCGTAATGACAATTTTGAGATGAATAATCGTGGCATGGATCCAGAGTTTTGCGGCCAGTCGGACTTTAACGATCCACGCTTCAACCACGCCCAACGTGGACCTGGCCCTGATGAATTTTTGGCCAACCAACGTCAGAACATCGATCACGACGACAGCGACGACTTTCAACGCCAGCAGCGCGGCTTTGATCGTCCACAGCCCCCAGCCCCTTTTATGGGCAATCCAAACACAGAATTTTTCGATTCTGAGCCCAACTTTGGGGGACAACAGCAGCAGTCAAGAAACATTGGTGGACGCCCCCAAATTGGGAACAACTATCAGCGCATTTTCCACAACGATCAAGTAACGATCCTACGTACGGACATGGTCGATCTCAACGAGCGCCATTTCGATCGTAATCCGGATAACATTGGTCCAAATGATTGCCACTTTGAGGGGAACTTTCGTGATCAGGAACCACGTTTCAACGATGACAGAGATGGCCGGCAGTTTATGGACGAAGAGCGCCATCGTGGACAGCAGCGGGCGGACAATTTTGGACGTCCGCACGAGGATCAGAACGAAAATTGGGGCTTCTACAGCCGCGATACGGAGCGATCTGATAATTTTGATCGTAGCTTAGAGCGCAATGATCCGCAGAACAGAGATGTTCGCTTCAATTTGAACAACGAACCGAACCACCGAGATCTTCGTTTCAATTTAAGCAACGATGATCGTAATGCATACAGACGCGATCGCAATGATCGGTATGATCGCAACGATCAAGGCTTCATTAACGACAATTGTCGTGATCAGATGATTTTTAATGACTCTGGACCTGGACCCCATCAATCCAATCAGAGTCGGTTCAGTGGTGATCATCGCTTTGAGAACGATCGTGACTTCGATCAGCAGCAGCGCCAGTATGATGGAAATTTCAATCAATCGAACAACCAACGAGAGTTTGACACTTTCCCCGACGATTTCCAACCGAATCAATATCAAGACAATGTTGATATTGATTATCAAAACAGAGGAGACCAACGCTCGTTGGATCGTGGTAATGATCGCTCTGGCAGTGGTTACCGCAACACAAATGCTCACAATCAAGAACGTAACACAGCCAGAAATATAAAACCTGATGGTCCACCTTCAAACCGTTCGAATCAATCCCGAAAGGCTCCACGGAATGCCATTGCAGGTGGTCCCAATCAATACCGAACCAATTCATCTGTAGATCGTGGTGGAAACGCAGCAAGAAATTCCAATCAAAACCGAACAAATTCATCTGCAGATCGTGCTGGAAACGCAGCAAGAAATTCGAATCAAAACCGAACAAATTCCTCTGCAGATCGTGCTGGAAACGCAGCGAGAAATCCCAATCAAAACCGAACCAATTCATCTGCAGATCGTGCTGGAAACGCAGCAAGAAATCCCAATCCTGTAGCTAGAGCCTCTGGTGCAAATCAGAACAAGCAAAATCCATCAACAATCCCAGCCAAAGGTGGCAAGAGCACTTCTGCTGCCAGCAATCAGGCCAAGACAGCCAAGAATCCAGCCCACCCTGGTGGCCCAGCCGCCAATCCAGAGGCAAATACTTCAATGCAGGCCAGGAAAATGCCGGGCAAGCCGCCAGAGGCAAACCCTCGTGCTGGTAAGGGTTACAAAACTAAAACATAAATCGTCTCAAACATTGCCAGTAAATGTTTTATTTCCTGTAAAACTTTTACTGGGAATGAATGATGCGAGTATGAATAATTTCTGAGGGCGGCAGGGATGCAGTCCGGTTAAAGAGAGCCTTGAGTTGTGGCTCTCACTGTTCGAAGATAAAAAAACTCTTCAAGGGGAGTATTTTTCTATTGATGCCTCCTTTAAGAGACATTCCTATTCATATCTGAATAGATATGAATCCACTTCAGGGGAGTATTTCCCCATTGGCAATCCATTCGGATTATACCGAACCAATCCAAACCGACTTGCATCCCCGCCCCGTGAAGAATATTTGTAAAGAATATAACACCGGGTATTTCCCATCATTTTACAGGGCAAAAGCGAGTCGCTGGGGATGCAACCAAGCCACCAGTTGGGGACGAGATTAAGCGACGCAGAGTTATCAGGGGTAAGGGCTTCCTTATCGGCGGCAGAAAGCTGCCGTATGTGGAATACAGTCAAGAGTTGCCCCAGGCCGAGGAGGCGTCCTATGCTGTGACCTTCTTCGAGCAAAAACCCAACTACAATACGAACATCTATGCCAACGAGGATGGCATAGTTGTGGAGGAGCACGACGGCGGCGACGACGATAGTTCGGACAGTGAAATTGAGTTGCCCGAAACCACAAAGGGGGGCAGGCAATATGCTAAAAAGAGAACCCAAAATCGCTTGCGCAAGGAATGGACAGATTTGTATCGTAAGCAGAACTACAAGGACTGGCACAACTGGTGGACGGACTACAAGTGGTGTGGACACGAGATCAACAAGGTGCTGGAGAAATTCCCCAACCGAAATCTGGAGCATCGCTTCTTACCCATATATAAGAACTCCACCACCGAAGGTGTGGTTAGAAAGGTCCTACAATTGGGGCACCTTGCATTGGACAAGAACACGTTCAATGTGCAACGCAACATGCGGGCCATCTTCTTGCTAATGAACGACACTTTCCTGAATAATCTGAAAATGGAGAATATTGAACAGCTGGAGAACCTAATTCGGCGTGTGCCCAACCATCTGTGGCTGTATAAGCTCCGTAGCATGGTCTATGTGTGGACGAAACATCAACAAGTCTTGAAGGACACCCCAAGCAATATAAGGAAAGCGTTGCTCAATTCATATGCCAAAAAATGGAAGACTCCCATGTTCCACTGGCTGGCCAAGCAGGCCTTTGATGAGCTCAAGGTATGTTCTAAAAGAAACAAAAAACCAGTATTCCCCAATAAAACCAACATTAATTTTTATTGCTGTACCCCATCCACAGGCAATCAGTGAAATCTCGTGGCCGGATCACAATCGTTTCTATCCGGGCATAAAGAAGCCCCTAAAGAAACAGATGACATGCGGCAAATCCATCATTTAAATTGCGCATGCATTTTTTAATAGACTCGTAGTATTGATGATATGTAAATTGAATTAAAATAAAATAAAAATTTCCCTCCACCTTGACTCAGATATGCAATGTGCATATAATCCAGTTAATAATATCTCTATAAACTCCTTAATATCCCGTCAAATTAAACCACTAATGAGCCCACCTTCCTTTCCACATTCCGTCAGGATTCTGTATGAAGAGCTTCAAGGTGAACACCAATGAGAAGTTCTTTATCAATGTGTGCCAGGCCCCGGAGGTGCCAGCACCCGAAGACGTCACCGAGGAGGAGCTAATTGCCATACTGGAATCACCGACACCGGGCTCGTTTCGTGTGCCCATGAGCATCTCGGATCCGCGACAAACCAAGGATCGTTCGAACAAGACCGTCGATGTCTGCGACATTGCCATCAATCCGCAGTTTCTGGTCAAGTTGCAGAAATCGCAGCTGTTCAAGAACTTCTTTCAGCAACTGGCCGCCGAGGCACTCAGCGAGAAGTACAACGTTCAGATATCCATGGAGAAGACCATTATCCTGAACAATCGTAAATTCATGGGCACCCTGGTCTCACATCGAGTGCGCAACGCTGATGTGAAACATGTCCAATCCGTGACCGGTAGCCCGGCTGCTGCCATTGAAGCCGGCGAGGATCAGCAGAAGGCGCCTTCGAAATTGGTCCAGGAGATCGATGCCAAACATGCGGCTGCAATCAGGAATAGCCGCCAGACAGAGGAGCTGCAGTACAAGCTACGTGCCCAGATCCGCGATGAAGCTGTTCATGAAATCCACGCCGAGATCTATCTGCCCAATTGTGTATGTATTTTTTAAATAAATAATACTGTATATATTGATCATTAAACTCTTCAATTTAATAGGTCTCCTCGCATGAGGTCAACCTGGATGTGGGTGAGGACCGCATCTTGGTTGAATCCAAGAAACACGGCTATCTCTTTGACAAATTTGTGAACTATCGCCTGCAACAGGATCGCGCCCGTGCCCTGTTCGACAAGACAAGCAAGGTGAATAGACAGGAATCCCCAGTTATCCCATAAACTTTTTTCTATAATAAATACTTTTACTTGTCTTTCAGATGCTTCAAGTCCGCATTCCTGTTTACAGTCAATAGCCATAGAAAACCATAGAAAAGGCATTTTCGCCTTATATATTTATAATGTTTAAAAATAAACTGTTTCATTTTGAAAATGTAACCAAACTGTGAACATTTTTTCGGTTTTTTATTTGGGAGAAATCTAGTTTTTTTCCCCCTATAAATATATTAAACTGTTTAAGGACTTTATTCCCCACAGAATGGAGAAGAAAGGTAGAGAATTTTGTATAGATTGTATATCAAACTTCCTCGCTCATTATATCCATTTTTATTGTTCCATGTCGCGATGAAAATATAGAAATTTTCCATCGTTTGTTTTTCTAGTATCTATCGGTATTTTATTTATCTTGTCGCAAAATTTCGGTAGCTAAAAATTTCGCAGGGATGAATTCCGATCGTTTTCCAAACTAAATTATACCTGTTTTCGCCAGCGAAATTTGTATATTGTCTTAGTGGCAAGCTGAAGATATAATGCAATAGCATCTTTGGGGAATTCTTGCTCCATTCCCACTGTCATCGTCACGTTCAATATATATGTTAGTGAACTAATAGATATGTAAACATTTTCCTACAAAATTACTTCTATTTGATCTGCATTTTTAAACATTTCCAAAAAATCAGCAGTGAATTTGGCCAATATAGTCTGAAAAACTGGGGCTGTAACTTAATTCTGTATCGCAAGCAATAATGAAAATGGCCTCCAGTATGGTTTTTTTAACAGATTAGTTATAGTATCTTTCGATATAAATGCTACCGAAATAAAAGGCATTTTAAAATAGGGTTGAAAAACCATTGATGGTCGATATATCCATAGAAACTAATAAAATAATTTAAATAAACTCAATAAATTGCGTTTCCAGTATTGTAGCGGATCATTTCGCTGTTCCAAGAATTTTTCTGCGATTGGTTTTTCATAATTTGAATTAAACCTAAATAAATGCACATTCGATCAAACATTCTGTTCGTTCTGTTCTACATCTTAGCCGGGTCCAAGGGGTTCACCTGTCCATCAGTCGGAGCAAAGTTAATGATTACTTTCGCTTGATGCTGGCTCCTGTGCTCCGAACGATGCAGGTTGGATTTCACTTGTGCACGAAAGTCCTCCACACAGAGGCCAGTCTCTATTTGGTCGCTACTGGCATCTGGATTCGCCGGATAGGCATCGTCGCCGGGAAGCAGATGCACAACACCATCATTGCATTTGTACATGACAGGATGGGTGAGCACGATGCCATTGGCTGCACGTTGCATGGCAAACTGACGCAGCTCCTCCAGGGAGCGAAAGTTGAGGAAGCGCGAAAGTTCATAGAACTGAGGGGGAGGCAGCCAGAGCTCTTTTCGCAGACAAGCCTGAAGATAATCCAAGGGTGAGCGCCACTGTTTTGCGCATACAGAAGAGGTTAGTGGGTGTTCAGTGTTTCTTCATTGGAGCTGATTCACTCCACTTACCGCACAGTCCTTGACCTCATTGGGCTCAATGTGCAGGCTGGGCGACTGTTCGAGGGTGGTCAGGAAGAAGGCCGTCACAAATCGCTTCTTAAACGTGGCAGGCGTGCGCCAGGCAGACCAATCGTGGAGTGACCAGATGTCGGGCACCACATCCAGCTGCTTGCAGAGCTCCAGGAATTGACTGGCATCATTGTGCACCACATGCTGCCAGTGGGCGCGATCGAACTGCTCATAGAACTGCCCGTAGCCGCTGGCCGAGGTCAAGGTCTTGGCATCCCGACACAATAAGATGCCCAACTCCTCAAAGGTCTCCCGTATGGCAGTCAGACGCAACGACAAGGAGCTGCACAAAAGATCAGAGGCCGTGACAATAAAGTTTCGCACTTGCGACAATCTAGAAATCTCACGTGTCTATCGCATCATCCGCCTGCGCATTGAATATCTCGGGACGTGGAGCCTTTACGTGGCAGACGTCCCGCAGCATGGCTGAACTAATGTCGTGCCTCTGAAAGTGCGACAGCCAGGCTGGCGAACTGTCCGTAGTATCGCACACTCCGCCCGGAAAAACGGACGAGTCCGGCATAAAGCTAGATTTTGAAGTGCGCGTAAGCAGCAGCGCCTTAAACAACAGATTCGATATTATGCACTCTATTATATGGTGGGATTGAATTGTCTTACATTGTAGTCGAAGGATCGCTTTGTAGCTCCTGCATCCTTGGCCAGTAGTATCAGGCTGGAGGACGGGCGTATTTTGGCCAGCACCTGCTTCGACATATCGCTTAGGTAACAACCGATACCGACTAGATGTAATCGATAGTAATTTCAGGTCTCACGGATCGGGTCAAAGTTTTTTTGTTTGTACCGAACCGATGTGGAAACTAACTGATTTCCACTCATGATACAATGATGGTTGCTCCCCAAGATACTGGAACGTATAGAGCCTCGGCTAGCCTCATACTGGCTGCTAGAGAGGATTCCTCCACGAAGTTTGACTACAGCGTGAGTAGGGCGGGAACAAAAGGGAAACATTATTTAATTTATTTGAATTTTCCTTTAGTTACTTTTAATCAAACGCAGCGAGCGCACTTCTTATGCTTTGAACCACTGCGTCTTTCCGGGTGGCGTGTTTGACGCTGGGGCGGATGAGTCTCTAGATTGGCTGTCGTATTTTCACTCCTTTGGCGTCACAGATGAGGATCTAAAGCGTTTGAGCTGCGACCAGGTCTCCGCCCGACCGGAGTTCCTTTCCTCCGGCCAGAATTTTTCAAGAGACATCTCGCTGAGGCTGACTGCTCTAAGGGAAACTTTCGAAGAAGTCGGCCTCCTGCTTTGTGCCAACGAGGAGGACGTTAGGAGTTGGAATGCCACCACTGGGGAGCCACGGACTTTGCTCCTCCAGCCAGACGATCGCTCCTATTGGCAGCAGCGAGTGCATGACGATGCCACTCAGTTCCTGGCACTATGCAGACATCTGCACGTCCTTCCCAATCTCTGGTCCCTCCATGAGTGGTCAGTTTGGAGGACTCCGGCCACTGCAAGCCGCAAATACGACACGGTATATTACATTACCGCTCTGGTGGCGCAGGCGAAGCTGGTGAGCCTTTTGCTAGAGCCCCAAGAGGTGGCCTCGGCGCACTGGCTGGACCCGGAAGAGGCATGGACCCAGTCCCAAGGCGGCACTATATGGCTGCCGTTCATGCTGCTCTATGATACGGCGCGACTGATGAACCTGCACCGATGGGATGACCTTTTAAGGTTCTCTCGCCAGCGCAGTGTTTTGGGAACCACATTGATGCAGCCTGTGTACTACCGCTGCGATGGATGTATGTTTGGAGTGCTTCCAGGCGACGAACTCTACGTGAGCCAGCCAGAAAAGTGCGCCCAAACCATAATCCTGCCCTGCACTGTTGTCGAACTGAACCGCAGTGCCAGGCGGTACAATCGGTACCTCGTCTACGACTTTCACAAGGTTGTGCTGGCCTCAAACGTTCCTCCCTTCGATGGCCATCTCCAGCTTCAGTCGCGCGTCAACATCCAGCTAGCGAAATTGTAATAGAAACGGCCGCATTCATGGGAGAATATATATTCTTTTGCTACGACAAAATATCACTTCCCAGCTCCAGCTGTATACAGCGGCAGGCGTGGCACAGTCCATCCTTAAACTCTAGTCGCTGCTTGGCCAGACGCTCCGAGGCGTCGCCTTCCAAGGACAGGCCCACTCCAGCCTCTGAAACGGCCCTCGAGTACTCGATGGCCATAAGTGTGTCGGAGAGCTTCGGGTCTCGTGGGGATTGGCAGTGAACACAAGCAGCCTGCTCCGCATTGGCATTTGCAGCAATTTTATCGCCGGTCCGAAACACCGTGGACACTGTGGCGGGGTAGTTCTGTTGAAGGTTGGCCACAAAGACGGCGGTCAGGTTCTGCAGACTGGCGGTCTGCCCACGCTCCTGTCCATAGCTGCTGCCACTCTCCCGCAGCGGCTTCAGTTGGCGCGCATGTACATAGAACCGCACTTCCTGCTCGTTCAGATCCCTCAGGGGACGCAGTAGCTTGACTCCGCCTGCCAGCCTGTCGTCCAGAAGGGCCACGTCCAAAGCGGCGCTGCCTCCGCGACCCAGTGCAATGGCCGTCAGCAGCTGTGTGGCCAGGTCGCCACTGATATGCGGCTCACAGACGTGACTGCAGCTCAGCTTTTGGGCCACAGAGGCTAGGAGGTTTTTGCGTTGCTGCTGGTGGTAATCCTGTCGAGCTGTCAGGCTGCGGAGTTTGTTCAGATTCGTGTGGAGTTCATTGGGCTCCCTTGGAGATGTGGAGTATTCCGCAAGCCGCTGCAGGGAGCAGGGCGATGCTCCAAGCTCAGTAACATAGAATTCAAGTGGTTCGTATCGCGTACTGAGAGCTTGAAGAGCCTGCAGATTTACCGATTCGCCGCCATGCACCGACTGATCGTCCACGTAGACCACTCGTGCATTGCAATGCAGTCGCCTGAATGTGTTTTGTGTCTGCGCGAAGTGAAGCATGTCCAGGAGCACCAGTGACTCGGCAGAGCCATCCACCGCGAGGAGGACTTCAGCGTTGCGGGGCAGGACCTTGGCGGCCCCCAAGGATGCTCGAAACTTGTGTCGAGCGTACATCAGAAAGCAATCACGGCACTCGGCCACGCGGAAGTTCAGTTTGTAGAGCTCACTGGAGGCCACACCGCACTTGTTGCAGTCCCCTGGGCTGGTCACAATCCCGGTGGGCAAGGACTCTGCTACCATGCCATGGGCGGCGCCCTCGTCGCCAAAATCATCCTCTCCAATGCTGCACATGCCAAAAAATGCAGTTAATCAAATAGGTTTCATAGGTAAACGAAATTCCCAGGGCTGGATAGTCATCGATGACGACAGAGATGTATAAAGGAAAACTCGTTCCGTAGAATTTTTCGTGGGGATTTTCATTGCAACAATGTCCCAACATTCCATTCCCACTTATGTTTTAGGCTTTAATTATTTGTTGACCTTTTCTATTTAAACCTTATTTTATAAACAATCCAATAATAAATAAAGTCTTTAAAAAAAATCGTTTAAAACTGTGTGTTAAGTGCTAATACAAAACATTATTATTTTCTGTGGTTTAAATAGGGGGTTCGTTTTTTTCCTCGGTATATTTATCGTCGCTATGGCCTGAAATATACATAATTCAATTAATTTTACATAGCATAGCTATTTTTATTACATTTTAATGCACTTATTAGGAATAATTAGGAATATTCTTAGAACAGAACACGAAATGCTATTTACTCTGCATCTAACGTGCCGAAATATTTCTCGTATTTCTCGTACGGACGCCTGTCGACAAGCTGAAGGCGTTCCTCCACGTACACGCGAAAACATTTCATTTCAATCGACTCCTCCTGTATTAGTTTCGTCTCCGCCTTGAAGCACTCTTCCAGCAGCGTCTCGCTGTTCGAAGCATTTCCCTTGATGATCGACCTGGCCAGTCGCGAACGGATTTGTTTGCATATTTTGTCGCTTTCGTAGTCCATGATATTTTTGTAGGCGCTGGACGGCGTGCGGCGCGTATTGAGAGGCAGTGGAGGAACACTCTCAGTGGACAAACGTCTGCTTGTAGACGCGACTGGCTCCTTATTTTTGCCAGCAGCACCCAAGCGGATAACCTTGGATGGTGGGACATCATCTGGGTCATCTGGGATGTCATCATAATCTGAGTCGGAAGCGTGCTCGTTTTGCCTCTTAGTTGCTGTGGCCTTTCTTTTGGTCATCTTTGGCATCTTCAGCTTTGCCAACTCTTTTTTCAAAATTTGTGGATTGTTCCTGAAGAATCGGAACATCTTCTTTTTGTATCTATTAGTAGGAAAGGAAAGGAAACAGAATAATTTTTGCACTGTAAAAGGTTTGTCACTTAACATACTCAGCTCTGCCCTTGGCGGCCGCTTCCATGTAGGGAGCCTTGCGCTCCTTTGAAAGCCGCTGCCATTCCTCACGTTGCCTGCTGTGCCATCCAGGCTGGCAGCGTTTCATTTCGTTGCGTTTTTCGATCGTGAACCGCACAAAGCCAGTCAATGGGAATTGTGGGGCTCCAGGGGCATTGATGCGGCGCCAAAAGAGTTTCTTGATATCTTGATCTATAGAAAAATGAATCAGTAAAACATTGTTCGAACAATGTTCCGTTCGTACTTACAAACTTCGTCGTCGTCGTCGTCGTCGTCGGTGCTGTCGGAGCTGGAGCTGGAGACCGAGCTGCTGCTGGATTCCGAGTCCGAACCGGAGATTACGACAGGCTCGTCGTGGCATTCATGGACATTCATGAGATGCCTTCTGCTATCTGCTGATTTAGCGCTCTTATATGGACAGTATGGACATGCGAAGTTTTTTTTCTTTGACCCAAATTCACAGAACCTTTTTTCGTGGTCTCCTAAAGATGTTTTCAGCATAGTTTTTCGGCATCTTTCGCATCTTACGAATCCTAATTCTAGTTCGCTCTAGAAAATATAAATAAGTGAAAATATAAAATATACTTACAAATACTTTAATTTACTTACATCGCTGGAAGAACTGCAACTTGAAAAACTGGACGCATGACCATGCACTTCAACCCATCTTTCGAATGTTACGGGCAGGTCTTTGTTCCATGGCCTTTCGTCCCATGGAGGTAAGCTGGAGGTTGTTGGATGGTCTTCATCGCTTGAAGAAGATGAATTCATGTTTAAAAGTTGTTTAGTTTGTTAACAAAACTCTAAACGAAAACCGGCGCCGGCTTGCAGAAAAATGAGTGTGACCAGATAGGCAGATGAGATGATGCCAACTCGGTGGAAAAAGGATGGACGCAAAGTGCTCAAAATGAGCCATTTATAAATGGCTGACTTTGCGGGTAATTTTAAATTTACCTTAAAGTTTGTTCGCTATAGAAAATATAAACAAATGAAAATAAAATGATATGTAATCCAACAATATATGATATGTAGCTTGGCAGGTCAATTTAAAAATAAAATATATATATTTATTTTGTGCTCAATAATTGAGCCGCGCCGCTCATTTAGCTCAACTGAACGGCGTCGATGGCGGCCGCGGTCTTCTAGATTTTTCGGCGGCTGATCGCATTTTTTGAGCGGAGCTCATTTTGAAAACACGTGTCAGAAGTCAAACAACAACGTAAGTATTACATATATTATATATATTATATATTTATATATATATATATATTATACATATACGTATAATATATCCTTTTTAATTTAATTTCCTTTCCAGATGTCCATTCATTTCCATTTTGGCGGCGCTGGTGTTGGCCGTGGCGGTGGCCGTGCCGTGGCGGCGGCCGTACGACGACGCTAAGGGAGAGGCAAGAGCGCCGGTCAGCCATTTCTGATCGGGCTTTTGCCATGATGCTGGCCGCCCACCATGGCGAAATGGGCGGCATGGCGGACGAGGGCCGCGCCTTGCTGCGGCGCCTGTGCCGGCACAACATACTTGTAATGGCCCAACCCCAGCAGGCCTACCAGCAGCAGGCCCCCCAGCAGGCTCAACCCCAGCACGCCTACCAGCAGCAGGCCCCCCAGCAGGCCCCCCAGCACGCCCTCCAGCAGCAGGCCTACCAGCAGGCCCCCCAGCAGGCCTACCAGCAGCAGGCCCTCCAGCAGGCCTACCAGCAGCAGGCCCCTCAGCAGGCCCCCCAGCAGGCCTACCAGCAGCAGGCCCCTCAGCAGGCCCCCCAGCAGGCCTACCAGCAGCAGGCCCCCCAGCAGGCCTACCAGCAGCAGGCCCCTCAGCAGGCCCCCCAGCAGGCATATGTATACATACATTTTAGCACCGGACACTAGACATTAAGACACTATAATCAAATAAAATAAGTCAATTTATAAGTCAATTTCTCTTCTACCTCTCCATGGAGGTGCGTCGGGCAAGTGTGAAGACCATTCTGGTGCTGGGCAAGGACAGGACACCACACCCGTCTGTCTGCAGCTGAAGGCCGGCGGACTGATCCGTGTGCCACAAGTTGCTGGTCATCAGCGAGGAGACACGCTACTAGCACTTAAACTAAGTAACCAATACATAATACATAAATACATATTCAAGCAGTATTTATTTTGTTCTTAATTTTTCAAGCACAGTGGGTATTATGAGGAGTGGGTGTTGCTGCTGTGCTTGCCGCCTCCGGTATGGTATACGCTTAAATACTATCGATTGGTTCGCCTCGCGATGAGGATGAGCCAATGAGCTTCTGAGTAGAGTTTTCAGTTTTCCTCTGTTTTTCGCGCAAAACGGCTTCGGCCATTTGGTCTTTAGTTTCTTTATCCATCTGAAAAGTGATGGAGATTAATAGCAATTAAAAAAATGGCGTTGTTCACCTTACACTTTGAAAGCTGGTGTGTTCCAGCTCTGTAAAAAGTCTTCCTTTCACTTTTTCCATTCGCCTTCCGATAATCTGTCTTCACCATATTTTCTCTTCATTTGCATCCATAGTCTCTCCTTCGTCTCTTTTTGCATTTTTTCAGAGTTTTAAAGGAAAGTGAAACTCTATTTTATTTTTTGTTGCGCCGATCAAGTGCCGTTGGGATCAGTGTGACCGCGGATTTATCAAAAAAATATACCGCCCGACCCTCAGAAAAATACCGAAATATTTATTCTCATTATCAAAATATACCGAGGAAAAAAACCCACTTAGCCCCGCCACTAAACATACAGTATATAGATGTGCCAGTTCATACAACGAAAGGGGCGCAGCTGAGTTTTCAGCGTATGTTCCCAGATCTTCGGCTCTGGGCATGATGCAATTATATAAGCCCTCAAAACAAAATGAAAAACCAATTCAAGCGGCCAAAAATTGTAGAGCCCACACAAGCACAGAATGTGAGAATACATGGCACACACACATTTACGTAAACTGAAATCTCGAACAAAGTCGGTTTCGGCAGCTAAAAATTATTCTCTCTATGCATACAATCATATATTTTGGAGTGTACACGTACACAACACATGCATGCTTGCTGCCAGTCGGCTCGTGTGACGTCATGAGCCGAACGCGGCCATTCCCAGAGCCGAACGCGGCCATTCCCAAAGCCGAAGATCTGGGAACGTACGCTGCAAACTCAGCTGCGCCCTTTTCGTTGTATGAACTGGCACATCTATATACTGTATGGTTAGTGCCTCCAGTATGGTTTTTTTAACAGATTAGTTATAGTATCTTTCGATGTAAATGCTACCGAAACAAGTGGCATTTTAACAATTGGGCTGCAAAACCATAGATGGTCGATATATCGATCGAAAATAATAAAAAAATTTTAATTAAACTCATTAAATTGTGCTTCCAGTATTGTAGCGGATCATTTCGCTGCTCCAAGAATTTTTCTGTGATTGGTTTTTCATAATTTTAATTAATTTATTTCCTACTTTTCTTTCTCAAACTATATATCGAAAGTAAAAATTCTCAATCTATCGATAGGACGATCGATAGTTTTACTACGCTTGTATTGCCGGTAATGCACCCCTGGCAGACGATTGTGAAAAAAATTGGTGAAAAGTATTTTTGAGGGTAGGAAATTAAAAGAATTAACTCGTATATTAAAGAATTAGTAGCATCAAAGTGTCCTCTGGCTAAAGAAAACTCGTGACGCAATGGACTTTCGCAACAAGAATGACGTTTATGGCACTGGCCAGCGTCGTGTGGGAATTGGTAACTTAGGCGGCTCTGGCTCTGGCCCTGGTGCCGCATTTTATGCGCCAAACTTCGGCAACGATGGTGGTGGCATCAGCTACAACAACAGCAACAACTTGCAGCTGGACCGCGGCAATAGTCAATTATTTGGCAACAGGAGCCCAGAAATGGGTGGCAACTTTGGTCGCAGTCGTCCCTCAAACGACAACAATTTTCCCTACAACGACAACAATCGCCAGCGGGACTTGGAGATGATCTCGCGGGAGACAGCAGGCTCGAATAGCTATTTGCGGGGCCTAGAAAACCGCTCCAACTTCAATTCCAACAACCAGAACCAGCGCTATAGCAACTCCAATGATAACTTTGGCGATAGCCAGCCGCGTCGAGACTTTGATGACAATTTCCGTGGTGGCGGCGGCGGCGGACCTTCGGGAGATTTAGGCAATGCCCGGGATCTGCCGAGCAATTTTGGTAACTTTGGCGGCCACAATGATTCCCCGAGCTTTGCCAACCGGAATTCGGTGAGTTCAAATTTCAATTCCGATTTCCGTAACCTGGACAACAACAACTATCGTGGCCCACAGTCGAGCACCAGCTTCGGCGACAACAATGGGCGTTACTACAATGATGCGCCACGGAACCAGAATCGTTCCAGCAACGTTGGCCTCTCCGACGATGTGGCCAACTTTAATGACAATTATCGAGGCGGCTCCCGGTCGCAAAACTTTGCGGATCAGCGCCCCAACTATAATGATGGCGATCGCAACTCTTATGGCGGTGGTGGTGGCGGCGGCTTCAATGATAATTTCCGTGGCAATAATTACGGAAACTCTGGCTCTGGCAATGTGGACAACTGTGGACCTTCTGGTACCAGCTTCAACAACAATATTGGCATAAATAATGCCGGTCCATCGGTTGGCAATTTTGGCCAGAACAACAGCCGCAACTTTCAGCCGCAAAACGATCGGCGCAACTATAACGATGGCATCTCCCGTTCTTGGAACAACTCCAACACGCAGCAATCGTCTTCATTCCAAGACTCTGGGTATCAGTCGGTTGGCAGCGGCAACGGCAACGGCAATGGCAATGGCAATGGCAATCTGTCTGCCTGGGAGGCCAGCCAGCGGGCCTACAACTCCAAGAGGATCCAGAATTCACCCAAGAAGAACCTGAACAATGGCGGCGTCATCCGCAAGCCGGCCCCGGCACCAGCAATCAAAAATATTCAGGGTATTCGCAACAACCCGAAAACAGTGGCCTTGATCACGGCCAATGCGGCTAGAAACCCAGCAGTACGGAATCCCGTCGGTGCCGCTGGCAATCCTCGCATCGCAGGAGGCGGTCCTGGAGCCAATCCACGCAACGTAGGAGGCGGTCCTGTTGGCAATCCACGGAACGCCTTGGGGCCCGGGCCCAATGCACGCAATGCCGTCGCACGTATTTCTGGAACGTTGCAGAATCGACCCAACCAGAACCAGAACAATGCTGCGCGCAATCAAATCAAGCCGAAGATCATCGGACCCAATCAAAGGAAGCCCAACAATGTCGGACCGAATCAGCCGAGGGCAAATAACGCCGCTGGCAATGCCAGTAGGAATCCGCAGCCAGCCCGAGCCAAGAACGCAGTGCCAGCACCCACTGCTGGCCAACCCAAGGCCAAGCCCCCAGTGGTCAACAATGCCCAGCCAAAGGGTCAGACAGTCGCTGGAGGAGCACCACGACCTGGTAAGCCTACAGCTTACCCTGCAGCTGAAGTTTCCTTGCTAACACTTTGTTTCATTGACAGGACAAAAGCGTGCCGCACCAGCAGCAGTGGCCCCAGCAGCAGCCGTCAGCTCGCCGCTTTCAAAGTCTGAGAGAAAGTGGCTGAAGGTGGCCCGAAAGCGTGGATTCCTTATGGGCGGCTTTAAGCTGCCATATCTGCTTAATGGGGACCCGAAGAAGTTGCCGCAGTTTGAGGACGAATCGTATGCGGTTGCCTTCTTCGAGCAGACCTTCATCTACAGTACAAACCCATACGCCGGTGAGGAGGAGTTCACCGAGGCAGCTGTCGTTATCAACGATGATTCGGATGATGAAGAGCTGAAGGCTGCGCGTAAGATCCACAAACGCACCAGGAAACGCCTGCGCACTGATTTAGTGGCCGTTCATCAGTCGACCAGCACCATGGACTGGCCCAGCTGGTGGAAGGATCACAAGGCTCTTGGGGAGGAGATCGACAAACAGTTGAAGGCCTGTGGCAATCTCAATCTCGAGCACAGCTTCTTGCCCAATTTCCCGAAGCTAACCACCGAGCAGGTGATCGACGCCGTCATCAAGTCGGCCCACTTTGGCTTGGAGAAGAATGCGGATGTGCCGTTCGACACCATGAAGACGATTTTCACGCTGATGAATCTAACGTTTTTGGAGAACCTGACGGACGCGAACAAAGAGGAAGTCCAGAACATTATACGCAACATACCCAATGCCCTTTGGGTACGCAAGATGCGCTCAATGATCAATCTGTGGGCCAAATATAAGCACGTCGCGGAGCCGTCGACGGCCACAGAAGCCGAGGCCAAGGAGGAACATAACCGCCTGCAGCAGGCCACGGCCCGTGAATGGAAGAGTGCCTGCTTCCACTGGGTGGCCAAGCAGGCCTTCGATGAACTTGTGGTACGCATCCAAATGCTAGAGATCGATTCTGTAAATGATTCTAATGGGAGCCTTTCCTTCCTTTCTTTCTTTGCAGTCTATTAGCGCAGCCGAGTGGAAGGATCATGCCACACTCTTTCCAAAACAAGATTAATCCAATCCAATTCTCACGCATCCTGACACTTCTTCTCGCCTGAACATTCTACTAAAACACTGACCCCAAATCCTCCCCATTTAACTCAGCAGGCAGATCCATCCCCCCGCATTGGGATTTACTTGTTTGCATGCATTCAGATTGTACGAATGAAATTTATGCACATGTATTGATGAAAATCCTATGTACCAATAGGAGTTAGATTTTAATTAGATCAGATTGATTGAACAAATAAAGTACCGACCCACAAATCGATGGGATTTTGATTTACGTTCCTGTTCAAAGACGCGGAAAATCGATGCTTGACTCGAAATACAAAAACAACATACATTGCGCGTGCATGACTGCAGCCAAATACTGTAAAATACCAAGATATTGCATCAGGAAGAAATTAAATTTCAAATTTCGCTGCCTCGCGGTAAATTGATGCCCGATTCCTGCCCACCGCTACTCTAATCCCTTCCTGAAACGCTGGTATGCACGGGTATTTGATTTATTTAACAATTTTATTGCCAGCAAAAAGGTTCTACATTTTATTATATTCACAATTGGTTCGATGCTGTTGTGTCTGGTCTGTCTTTTAAGGCATTACGTACAGGAAATTTGCAATTTGTGTAACGCATCCAAATGGACGACTACTAGTACAGTTATATAATTGTTTGTTTACGTGAATCGCAGGGTTTTTTTTGCGAATTCAGGCACCCAGCTGCTTGTACAGAATGGGCACATAGTCATCGTACTCGGCCTGGTACAGATTGCCGGCCACCGGGTCGCCCAGATTGTATTTCTCGGCAAACTTGGCAATCTTGAAGCCGCCGCGTCCATCGCCGCTGTTGTTGGGCAAACGTTTCTCGTCAAAGTCGAGCTTGCACTTTTGCTCGTAGATGAGGAACACGTAGCGATGCAGGCCAGTGTCTGGCGGGGGACCGGAGCCAACGTAGGCCGACAGCACCTCGCCCTTGGCAATGTCGCCGCCGGGAATGTTGCCCACCAGCCAGTGGTGCCACTCACGGAACTTAGGCTCCTTGCGGCTGGGTGCGTCCGGGTCCGTCATGCACAAGGTGTACAGCTTGCTGGCGTCGGCGTCCCACTTCACGCACGGCTGGTCCTTCACCTGTGTGGGGGTCAGCACGATGCCGGGCTTTACGACAATGTCGCACGGATATTCCACAGTTGCGGTGGCCTTTGGTGCCTTGGCAATGACATCGGGTACCACACAATTCTCTTCCATGGTTTTTCCAATTGATCCGCACGAATACTTGCGTAAATTAAATGCAGCAGACAAGCGAGGAGTCGGGCGATGATTTTCTTTTACTGCAAATGTTGTCGCCGTTCTAATGGCGGCCGGGGCTGAAAAGTTGACATTCGCAGCGGTGGAGGCCTTAAGAAAATCGCTCCAGTGGGGTCCAATGGGGCATCGTTGGACGTGGCGCAACAGCTTCAAGCGCACAAGACTCATATTTCAACTATAGGCTATAAAATAAACGTATCTTAGCAATTTTCCGTTTACAAATTAATAGATGGCAACTCTGCTATTCACAGCAAGTGGGTGCTATCGACATCGATAAAATTTAAAAATTTCGATTTGTATCTGACAAGAAATCCAAGAGAAACTTCAAGAGAATTAAATTAAATCGTTTTAATTAAGTTAATATGCCTAAACACTAGTCCTTACACTACCGATTGGATTGACGGGATAACAAGAAAACAAGGAACAATATAGGTATGGTATGTGGTGGGTTGTGTGTGTGGTGTGATGATGGGCAAGTGTTATGCAGAATTATCGTTTTGTTTTTTTTTTGGGCCAAAGCTACAAGTCTGCAACTTAAGTTTCTCCTCAGGTTGTCCGCTGCTGTGTGGGATAAAACTAAACCTGATAACGTTGCTTTTGTCATGCCTTGCGGAAGACATCGCCGGATCCGTATGAGAGTCGTCGCTCCTTGATGTTGGTGGTCACCAAAACATCGTCGTCGTACTGGGAAACCCGCTGCATTTTGGGCCGCATCAGTCCCCGCACATCGTTGAGCGTTATGTCGATATCCTTGAAGGCGTTCAGCAGGAATACGGCTGTAATGACTATGAGAAAGCCGCACACATCGCCCAGGATATCGTCGAATCGCATGTGAGTAAACTCCTTGAAGAGTATGGCCGATGCGGTTATCACCAGAGTCGTGAACATCACATAATACACGGGCGTCACGATGCTGGTGTTGAAAATGTCCAGCGCCTTGTTCAGATAGTTCATCTGGATGGCAATGAAGGTGACGGTGATCACAATCAGGAACCACGGCATCCAGGTGAGAAAGACATTGCCGCCATTGGCCAGGGTCTGCCGGATAGCCAGACCGAGCGCCTTGCAGGACATGACGGTCAGCGAGCCAATGCCCGAGCACAAAAATATGTACACCACAACGTTCGTGTGGCCATGCCGAGGCGCGATGAAGCAGGCCACAAAGGCAGTGGAGCCAATGATGCAGATTACGTACAAAATGAACACCGGATCCTGCAGCATATCGAAGAGCAGTTGCAGGTCCTCCACCTCCTTCTCCTTGGGCGAGTGTATCACTATGATGGTGGATCCGAGTATGCACAGAAAGCAGCCAACTTTGCCAAGCAGATTGAGTTTCTCGTTGAGAAACCTGGAGGCCATCACCGACGAAATAATAACACTCAGCGCCCCCAGGGGCGTCACCAGGGAGGCGGGCGCAAAGGCGTAGGCCGCAAAGTTGGCCGCCTCACCCAGGCCCACTGCAAAGACAATGACAACAGACAATGGAATGCTGTGATAAGCGAAAGTGCTTGTCTTTACTCTACTCACTTGTCAGCAGCCCCGCCCACCAGATCCACTCGCGTAAATAGCCAAATCCGCCAGCCGAAGCCCGCACCTCGCCGAACCTACTCAGCCGAAGGAGAGCCTTCTTCTTGATGATGAAGCTGGAGCCGATGAAGAAGCAGGACGAAATGGCCAGACCCACTCCTATGTAGAAGTCTGTGTTCGTCAATGGTTCCGCCAGTGGGACGGGCGGGCCCAGGCTGGGTCCAGCCTGTGTCTGGTCCATCTGCAGTGATGAGGCTTCGCTACTCATTGAACTTGTTTCACCACTCGCTTTATGTTATTGCACTTCTTTTCAAAGTCTGCGTGAGTCACAAGCCTTCTATGTAAAATATACCGTCAGACCCTCCGAAATATACCAAAATACACCTTATCATTTTAAAAATATACCGTAAATATACCAACGGACACGACGAGATGCGGTGATATTCCTCGATTTTGATATTCGTTATAATATTACTAGCTAGATGGGACCCTAACCACTACACACATAATTTTATACGATTGATGAATCAATTTCCCACGGGATTAGTCAATTGGAAGGACTACTTTTCCTCAATTATACCATTGCACGTAAATAAATAAATGGTAAGAGCGAGACTTCATCAATCAATGTCTTCCTGCCACTTGTGGCATTTCGGCGCTATCGCAGTGCAGCCGCACATTTTGGCCAAAACAAAACAAAAGAGAAGAATGCCGCCAAAGTCGAGTAGCAAGAAAAACCAGGCCAGTTGGTACCACTGCGAGACCTGTGGAGTGCACATTACGTCCAAGGCACGCGACAATCACGATGCCAGCTGTCCCATAGCCAGTGAAGGCGATGCAGAGGCGGACTCCGACGCGGAATATGTGCGGAATGGAACGCTGTACACGAGGAGCCTGCAGCAGCGCAACTTCGAAGTGGAATCCCTCAAGGATTTGCCGGCAAAGTATGCCAACATGCTGGTGTTTCTATCGGAGGGTGCCATGCGGCTATCCCAGCTCCACATCGGCCAGCACGTGGTGATTGAATCTACGTCACAGCCGCCGCTGGTGCGGATTGTGTGGCCCGTATCGGAGCAGTTCCTAACCACAGTGTTTGTGACAGACAGCGGTAGGAATCGAGAGTCGAAGATGGTTGGAATATCTGTGTATTTATCGCTATATTCTCTTAGATTACAAATCGAACTGGAGGAATATGCGTGGCAAACTGCTGAAGATCCGAGCATTGGACACCAAATGCCTAACAGCCGCCGGCAGCATCTCCCTGAGGCAGATCAGCGAATCGCGTTTGAAGTCTGGACAGCTTAAGGATGCCACCGCCTTGCTGCAGCGCGCCATGGTCAACCAAATCTACAGCCAGGGCACTGAAATTCATTTCAATTTCTTCAACAAGTCGCTAACATTTCGCCTGGAGAGCTGGCAGGGCGCTGTGGAGGACGCCCTAGCTGGCCTCAGCCTGGAGGCTAAGCCCCTGCAATTTGTACAGGTGACAAATGTTACACGACTGCAACTGATACCCCCGGAGGAGGCGGAGGAGCAGCAGCAGCAGACTAGATCCCTTCGCATTACAAAATCCCAAATTGGAGGACTGGATAAGCAAGTGGAGCTGGTGGAGGAGAGCATGGAGTATGCTCTCGGCCTTAGACCATTGCCTGCCGGTGAGTGGCTACAGATATATTCCGCTTGAACTTGTAATATTCCCAGTGCTTTACAGGTCTGAAGGTGTCGCGTGGCATGCTGCTGTATGGCGCCACTGGCTGCGGCAAGTCCATGGTCTTGGAGGCCATGACCGCCGTGGCTGAGGACCGCAGCCACAGGAATGTCCAAATCATTCGCATCAATAGCGGCGAGGTGTTCAGCAAATTCCTTGGCGAAACGGAGCAAAATCTGGCAGCAATTTTCGAGCGTGCCTACGCCCATTATCCGCAACCGACGCTGCTGCTTATCGAGGATGTGCACAATCTCTGTCCCAAGCAGGAGAGCAATGATCTGGTCAAGCGTGTCTCCCTGGCGTTTCTCTCGCTGCTGGACCAACTGAGCAGTCCCAGGCAGCTGCGGGGCAGTCGCACCTTCCTGCTGGCCACCAGCTCGCAAATCGATGACCTGCATCCGGGTATACGGAGAGCCGGACGCCTGGACAGTGAGCTGGAGTTGGGTGTACCCAGTCCGCAGGCACGTCAGGCCATCATCCAGTGTCTGATTCAATCGGTGGAGCACCAGCTGAGTACCGAAGATGTGGGACAGATTGCCACCATTAGCCATGGCTATGTGGGCGCTGATCTGGCGAATCTGGTGTACACAGCCATGCTGCAGGCCCAGCCGCAACCCCTGCAACTCATGCACCTGCAGGAAGCTCTCATCAGCGTCAAACCATCGGCCATGCGCGAAGTTCTCATCGAGTGCCCCAATGTCCAGTGGTCGGACATTGGCGGCCAGTCCGAACTGCGGCTGGCCATGCAACAGGCCATCGAATGGCCACTGCTCCACGCGGAGAAGTTCCAGCGTCTGGGCATCAAGCCCCCGCGGGGCATTCTCATGTTTGGACCGCCCGGCTGCTCCAAGACGATGATTGCCAAGGCCCTGGCCACCGAGAGCAAGCTGAACTTTCTCTCGATCAAGGGACCGGAGCTCTTCTCCATGTGGGTGGGTGAGTCGGAGCGGGCGGTGCGCGAGGTGTTCCGCAAGGCTCGCCAGGTGGCACCCTCGATTGTCTTCTTCGACGAGATCGATGCCATTAGCGGCGAAAGAGCAGAAGGCGAAGGCTCTGGCTCCGGCTCGGGTTCGTCCGTTAAAGAGCGAGTTCTCACCCAGCTCCTCACCGAGCTGGACGGCGTCGAGGCCTTGCAGAATGTCACCATTGTGGCGGCCACCAATCGGCCCGACCTGATAGACAAGGCGCTACTCCGTCCCGGACGCATCGATCGTATCCTCTACGTGGGCCTGCCCAAAGCCGACGCTCGTAGCGAAATCTTGCGCATAAAACTGCGCCCCATGCCACTGGCCAAGGATGTGGAGTTGGACAGGCTGGTGGAGCTGACGGACGGCTATTCGGGTGCAGAAATTCAGGCTGTCTGCCACGAGGCAGCTATGCGTGCCCTCGAGCAAAGCTTCGACGCAGAGCAGGTGGATTGGTCGCACTTTGAGCATGCCCTGACGGCAGTTCAGCCGCGTACCAGTCCCGACCTTTTAAAACTCTACGAGGACTACTTGAAAAGGAAGTGACCTTGAGAAGTAAACTTCCACAAAGATTGTACAATAAAAAGCATTTGATATGCGTGAATCTATTTACTAGATACGAAATTTACGGTCAGCAGATTAGGCTAAATAGATAAGATTGCAGTAGACTTGGCTGTAGACTGCATGGAAAACCCTCCCCATGTGGGTTTTTATTAAATCAAAGATCGACACTTGATTTGGAAATATATACTCGGTACTATCTGGAATCGACTGGGCGCGACCGTCGCCATCGATAAAGTTTAACTAACAATTAATGTCACAATCAATTGAGAGAACAAATTAAATGTCTCATGTTTTCATATGCTGTAAGAGAGAGGAGAGCGCTAAAGAAATCGCTAAAGAAAAACATATGGGTCGGGTCGGACCCATGTCCCACAAACAGAGAAAGCAAAGCGATTGTTTCTGATTGATACAGTGGAACGCACTGATGATGAAATTACATAATATTTAAATTCCTGAGAATTAACGAAGGTCATGCTGGGGGGTTTTTTTTTAAAAAAAACGCCAAAAAAAAAAGGGGGAGAAAAAAAAAAAAAATTTTTTTTGGGTGGGGGGGGGGGGGGGGTGTTTTGGTTTGCAAAAAGTTGGGTCCGCAGGCAGCAAGAGGGTTTTTTTTTATATTAAGTTACTTTCAACCGTGATTAGTTGAAAGATTTATTGTATAATATTTAAGGCCAAAAGTTCAAGCACAGCAAGAGGTTACAATATATTTATATATACATATGTATCATAAATATGTAGATATATTCGCATGTTGTAAGACTTTTAAAGATTAATGCAGCCACTAAAAATTTCTATTAATGGTCATTAAAAATAAATATGTATAGCTTTTCCAATAGTAGCCTCATGTTACAACTAATGAAAAGATTTGTATCTGATATGGCATTTATTGAATGAAGACTAAAAAATCGTTTAAAAGAAAACACTTTACCAATGCTAATATACCCAGTCTACTTATATTGTCATCAAGTTTCAAGTAAATATTTAATTTAACTTAGGAGCATTCAGTGTCAATATATGTTATGTATTCTAATTTATTCGTTGTCAAAGAATTTAGAGAAAATTCAAATTAAATCAATTTTCAGAAATCTATATTTATCAGATTTAAAAAAAAAAACTTTGCACACCATATTAATATTTAATATTTTAATATATTATTTAATGTTTAATTTCATTTTTACAAATTATTTATTAGGAAGGAGGTTTAATCTGATGGACTGATTGCTACATCGACTTCTATTCCTTACAAAATGATATTTTATTACAGGGTATCAAATGAATTCACAATAGATTGGAACTAATAAGTTACAAATTTACATATAAATTTATTGCAAATTTCCACTGAAATCCAAACAAATAAAAATATTATAAAGATCGTTAATTTTTTGAATTATTTGAAATCAATTGTGGAATGGAAAGAATTTGAGCAATTCATATCCCAATTTAAATCAGCCATCATCATTTGCTTATCGATCAAATTCTTTATCAAATAGTGTCAATTAACAGAGATGGTCAGTACGAGTACTCATCCTTGGAACAAAAATTCCAGTTGCTGAGACAAGTTATTGCCATCTGTTGAGGCACTGTGCTTTTTTTTGGAGTGAATGGCTTATTAAATTCGAGTCACTAAGTTAATAAACTCTCTTGTATTTTTAAAAGCTCGTCTGTCAATGAGAACTTTTTGAGAAACGATCAAATGTAGCACATATGTTCACGTGATGATGCTCTGTACGATTTTCGAGAGATTGGTCGTAGGTGAGAGCCAAATTAGTGGTTCTCTCCCATCTTGTGTACACTGAGAGAAAAATAGCATAGTAAACAGAAGTACAGACAAGTTGAAATAAAATATATGTAATATATAAATATATCTAAAAATTTTACATAAATCATAAGATCACAAATTTATATACGGAGTGAGTACGGTTAAAAAAGTAAAGTCGCGTCCACAGAAGCGACTCACACGTTCCTTCTCGTTTTAATTTAAAAATACAAAATTTTCAATTAAATATATTAATATTATGACATAATTTGAAAATATTTATTTAAAAAAAAAAATTAAATATTTTGTGTAACTAAGCTTATATACCATGTATTTTTGATGATGATAGGTTCTAGCTGACGCAGTAAAAATTTCTGTACACAGAGACATAATCATAGCCAATAAATAAAAACACGTTTTTAATTTAATATGAAATAGATTAAGTTTAAATATGAAATATATACAATTAAAATATGACATATTTAATTCAAATATGAACAATTGATATATTTATGTCAAAATGCAAGTGAAAACATGTAATGGCAAAAATATCTAAATTTAATCATAAATATTAAAATATCATTGATGTTTTTCTTTCGGTGTAGGAATAGTCAAAAGCGTAAGACAGAGAAAGCGTCAGCGCTCTTGGCGGGCGTTCGAACAGTTGCCGGTTAGCTGTTCAGTGCGTCGCATGTCGCATTTGTCGCATTGGTGGGGTTACGACACAGGGAAACACCACGCGCCGAATTCTTTAGCACCCAGCACTCAACGATGAAGTACTGGCTGAAGATCTCGCTGCTGCTGTGCACCTTCGGCTTCCTTCGCGAGCTGCGGCCATCGGAGCCGTATGTGACCGAATATCTGGCCGGAGACTATGGCAATCTGACCACCCAGCAGGTGTACCAGCAGGTCTATCCCTTTGGCACATACTCGGTGCTGGCGCAGCTGGTGATTGTCTTTCTCATTACGGATCTGGTGCGCTACAAGCCGGTGATCGTTCTGTCCGCCGTTGCTGGTATCGTGCTCTTTGCCATGCAGATATGGTGCGATACCCTCGGCATGCTCCAGGTTGCCCAGCTCTTCTATGGCTTCTTTACGGCCGCCGAAGTGGCCTACTACACGTACATCTATGCCAAGGTGGACAAGGAGCGCTATCAGATCGTCACCGGACACACGCGTGCCGCGATCTTGAGCGGAAAGTTTCTGGGCGGACTGTTGGCCCAGATTCTGGTTTCCACCGGCAGCATGAACTATGGGGAGCTCTACTACATATCGCTGACCACGCAGATCATATCGCTGGGTGTCTCCCTGGTCCTGCCCAGCGTGCCACGCAGTCTGTACTTTTATGCGACTGACGCCAGTCCGAGTCAGAGTCAGAGTCCGACGCCTGGTAGCGAGGAGAATGCGCCAAAATTTTCAATTAAAAATGCCTCCCGCCTGCTGTGCTATCATCTGGTGTCCTCCTACTCGAACCCCATTGTCCTGCAGTGGAGTTTGTGGTGGTCCCTGGCCACCTGTGGTCAGATACAGGTACTCTTTACGTGATTATCATTATGTTATGTATGGTCCTTTAATAATTCGATTTCTGCTTCGAATAGGTAATATCGTACATACAGTTCCTGTGGAAGGAGGTGGCGCCCCAACATCAGAGCAGCTACAACGGCGGTGTGGAGGCACTGGCCACTCTCCTGGGCGCCGTTGGTGCCATTGCGGCCGGAATGCTGAACTCGAACAAGCGACGCAGCTGCTACATGCTGGCCAACTCTATTTGCGCTGCCGTTCTGGGCGCTCTCCTGCTCTATGCCTCCCAAACCACCGTCCTGTGGGTGGCCTACATCAATTATGTGCTCTTCTGTGCCATTTTCTTCTTCATCATCACTGTGGCGGGTGCCATTGTCGCGGAGAATCTGGTGGAGGATAGCTTTGGCCTCGTCTTTGGCATCAACACTCTGGTGGGACTCTTGCTGCAGACAATCCTCACCATTGTCGTGGTGGAACCGGATACGGGCTTTGGGTTGGGTCTGCGAGATCAGTATCTAGTCAATGGAGGCTATTTCCTCTGCTTGGGGATCATCTATGGAGTCGGAATTCTCATTAGCAAACTGTGCGCCCGCACCAGGAATTCGAAGCAATTGCAAATAACCACGTAATGTGCAATATTTAGACTAATTTTGTATGAAATCGGAGCGCATTAGCCCCACCGAATTTTGAATACCCTACTAATTCGATTGTTAGTCTGAAATGTATGGTAACGGATCGTTTTATATAGAGTTCTGGGATATGATCTAAACATTGGAAAAATATATCATACATATATAATAATGTTAATTATTTTTAAGCAAATAAATATTTAAATAAATTATCATAGGAACGCAGAATTTTAAAATGATATGTCTGTGATTTTTCTGGAGTTAATGAGCGACAAAAAGACAAATAGGTGTTCGTAACCACGACTAATGGCTTTCAGTTGAACAACTGAGGCAACACTTGAGACAAAACGATGTTTTCCAGCAGAACACAGCCAGCAAGTGAGCGAAATTGTATCCGCAAAGTATAACAATCGATTAATCGCTGCTCAGCAGCCAGCTTGACGCATATAGTTCTCTCGCTCTGACTGCAGGCAGTTCCCCAAAGGGCTATCTCTATTTTTCCAGCTAGTAAGTTAGCAAAGTCTAACTTCTCGATCTTGAATTTCCTCCAGCTTTCGGATACTTGGCAGCCCTATCAGTTATTTTCATTCAACTGTAAGGCCGGTGGCAACTCTATCAGCTGCTTGCATCCAAATTTGAGCGCGCGGTCTTTTTTTGTAAACACATTTTATTAAACACAAAATTGTACTATAGAAAGATTATTGCAACAGCAGATCCATCTCCTCGGCATTCGATGACATCAGATCACGCTCCAGACTGCTGGATGCCGCACTGGCCTGATTCAGGAACAGATCAAAGTCGTAGCCATCGTTTTGGGCCGAAATGGAATCCTTTTGGTTGCTAATGGTTTGCGGATTGGACAGCAGATCCACATCGTACAGACCCAGTTCCTTGAGCAGCGTTTCGTTCTCCGTGCTGTTTGATTCTGTGGCCGGGGTGGGCTCCACGGCTTCCTTGAGTTCCACATTGATAATGGCCGCCGGCTGCTCGACAGCCTCGAGGCCACAGACAATATTGGCGGAACGAGAATTGGGATTGGCATTGGCTTCGATCTCATCATCGTCCAGCTCCTGGGGCTTCAGTGTGCTGGACTTGTACTGAAAGTCGGTCTCCTTGAAGTCCACCTCGATGGGGAAGAGCGGCGGCAGGGACTCCAGCCGCTCCACCAGACTCCGATGCAGCTCGGCCAAACTCTCGAGCAGGCTGCGCAGCTGTTTGTTCAGATCTGTGGCATGCTTGCACTCCAGCAGCTCCATCTTCTCGAGCACATCTGTGCGCAGTTTGGCAAACTTGCTGCGCGCATCCATGCGACAGCGCAGGATCAGACGGTACTCGTAGTTGCCCGTCTCGACGCGGTAGAGCGGCTCCTGGAGCGACGCAAAGCCGTGCTCTTCGTCGTCCATTTCCTTGACCTTCAGGCAGTACGAGAGGTATGTGAATTTGGCATCCGCATAGCGGCGAACAGTGAGCTTTGTGTCCGGTATCGCCTTGTTCAGATATGTACCAAGGTCGGCCAGGACTGGCTTGATCTGTTTGATGATGCCCAGGCCGTCCTTCTCCAGCGTCCGATGGAACTCGCCAAAGGTGCGGAACGCCTCCGACGCCCGCTGTTGCGGCTCGTGCGCCGAGATCTGTGTGAAGCAATCGCCAAACGACTTGTAGGTCCGCAACAGGTCGTAGTAGGCCTTCAGCATGCGGCGGGCATGCTCAACCAGACCCTTGTACATCAGCTCGGTGCCCTCCAGCTCCTCCAGCCGCTTCACCAGCGAATCGTTGCACAAAATGGCACGCGACAGGCCCAATGTGTCCGCCGTATTGCTCGACATATTGTCCACAATCCGATGCTTCAGTTTCTTCAGAATGATGTCCAGGGTTTTGCCCTGTTCCGGATCTGCGTGGAGTTTGTTATAGTGGACGATCACCTCATCGGTGGCCGTTTGTATCATCTTGGCCACCTCCACTTTCGTCTTGCCCTTCACACTGACGGAATTCACGGCCAGCAGCTCGTCACCGGACTGAAGGGATCCCTCGCGGGCAGCAGGCGTTCCATCGAAAATCTGTCGGTGTACAAAAATTCGAAACCTTAAATCACATTTCAAATATGTATTTTGGGAATTAACATTCAAAATTTCCTTTCAGTTTTCGGAGACCCAACAAAATTCAACAAATAATCCGAAAATGATGTCCAACAGCAACTGGTACAAGTGGATCGATGTGGACTACAACAGCGCGCCGCGGAAGCTAACCAAAAAGCCAGAGACTATTCCTCGCTGCGATCAGGTGGGCGCCCAGATAAGAGCCATCCTATTGGAGCAGGACGCCAACCTGCCGGGGTTTAGTCGCAAGCAGGCCGGCCTGGACAGCCAGAAGCGGAAGAGCAACAAATTTAGGCTAACGAAAATGACGCCCCGTGTCTACAAATTTCAAGATATCTACGAGAAGCACAAGAAGGAGCTGCGCAAACTGTATGACAAGTCTATGCGCACCAAGTACCAGTTCCACAGCCACCCAATGCCCGACTTTGACCGCTTGCACAGGCGCCTGGAGAGGAGCAGCCTTAGCTTGGCATCGGGTCAAAATTTCACCACACCACGCACGCCCCACACTCTGGTCATGTCCATGCAGGCCGAGCGGAGGCGTGAGCTTGAAATGAAGGAATACAAGAAGAACACGACACCCAAATTCGTGCCAAAAATCAATCGATATCCGTTGGCCTATATGCACCGACAGCCCTTTGTGCCCCGCATCGTGTCGTCCATTATCCACGCCAAGCCCTTCCATCTGCGCAGCGAGGAGCGGGGTGTGCGCCGGAAAGTGTTTGATCAGCAAATCAACCAGAAGATGGAGGAGCGCTGTCGAAGAGAGGCCATGGAATGGGCCAAACAGCAGGAGAAGGAGTACTTTAAGCAACGCCGGCAGACTGTCTTCAAGGCTAGGCCGAATCCCTGGAAACGCACAAGGGCACCTGATGCAATCAGCCATCAGTGATGGCTTCCCTCTATCCACTTTTATCAGTTGATTTCGGTTCAAGCAATAGAGAGATTAATCGACATACCTGTACAATATATAGACAGGGACACATGGGTGCTCCACCGCCAATGCTGATGCCAATCAAGTTGCTCTGATCCTTAGTGATGACGACGGCATTTGTGGTGACCGTCATACCCCTAATAAAAACCGAAAGAAACTTTAATTTGAATTCTATGAATGCCATATATTTCAATTGCTAGACTGAAGCGTGCTATATTAAGATATATTACGAGTACGAGTATGTGAATGATGGGGTGTATATCCTTATGGTATACTCACATAGTAGGCGTTGGGTGCAATTTTCTAAATAGTAGCCATGATACCTGTTCTAGCAAGGCCATTTGATAATAACTATGTATGTGTGTAAATTACCTACGGCTGTCGATGGGGACAGTTAAAGCTAAGGCAACGATGTCGGTGGCCCCCCCCCAAGGGAAACCTCTTAGCAGCAAAATTCAAAGATTACTCGTACCATTCGCATTGTATAGCTCTAAGCCTAGCTCTAAGTTCGAGTTAGTGGAGGAGTATAAGCATCTAGACATCTACACACACAATGAAAAACAAATCATAATATTTCCTTAATTCTGCATAAAACCGATAAAGTAATACCATTAGTTCTAGGAGTCTGTCGGGTACATTTTTTGGTATGGTGGGTAGGATTAGTAGTACAAATACAAATACCATTTGATATCAAAACGATTCTTGGGTTAAGGGTCAAACTCTGGAATGAACTTACAAACGATCTAACTCATTTTTCTGCCTAGTGGACGACTCGCTGCCAAACCTGTCGGAGCCAAAGCCCGAGGAGCACAGGACAACAGTTGTCTCGTTGATCGAGGAGGAGTGGTGGCTCTGGTTCCTCGGCTCCTCCTCGAGTACATCCTTATCCCGTGGGCAACTCTCCATGGCATCCCCATCTAACTGGATGAGCAACGGAACTGGCCCGGGTCTAACAATATGGTTTGATTTTTGTACAATTATTGATTTATAACAGAAACTTACGCATCGCAACAGTTTGTTTTCTGTTTTGCCAATAAAAGAAAGATCTATGCAGAGAATTTTTGGGTAAATATTTACCACAAATGCCTACTCACATTTTATCCTCCTCGAAGAAGAAATCATCGTCGGTGTCTGTCAGCATTTTGCTCCTGGATTTAAAAGTATATTTTCGAGTGCTTAATTTTTTGGCAAATTGAATTCCTTCAAACTGACTATCGATACTATCGATACTGCCATCGATGTTTTAGCAGCCTACTAACTTACTACTAACCCCCGATGAACACTTGTTGCCTTGGTAACGCGGAAAAAATAAACAAATTAGCTATGGATTGGGCTGAGGAGCTGAAAATGACTATAAGAAAGGTAAAACTCCAATATTATGGTCGATTCTGAATATGAAATGACATTTCCGCCCGTCTAGACAACGGCCCGCAAGGGTCGTCGCTCCAAGAGTCGAGATGTCTTGAAGGAGGAATCATCGCAGCCGGTTAAGGACATATCCATAGATATCACACTGAACGTGCAGGCACAGGGCAGTCCCACAACAACAGAGGCCACCTCGTCCACATACAACAATGAATTCGAATCCCATCGGCCGCCGATACGACGCATATCTGGAGGCTGGGCGGATGCTGGATTCAAGGGTTTGAAGTGAGTGTCCGCTAATAGCTGCCATTAATCTTTGTATAATTATGACGTTCCTTCCACAGATCCAAGAAGAATTCTTTCGATGAGTAAGTTGTAGTCCCGGAGATCTAGGAGGCATAATTTAATCGTATTTTTTTCTATGTATTTAGCGAGCGTTTTCAACAAACAAAATCGGCAACGTCCGTACCAACTGATGATATACCTGTTATACCAGATGTGGACGACTTCAAGGATGAAATCATGCTCAACGAAATTGTTGAGCCGCCGACGTAAGTAGATGCCCAGCAACCAAGTGCGTATTTAATTCAAAATGCATCTTCCCCTAGGGCCAGTTTAAATCGCTTGGCGGTTCTCAAGGAGATCAGCACGGATTTGCTTTCGCAGCACGCTTTCAATGCAGTTGATAATTTTAATCTCTCCATATTGACCGATTGCCTGCTGCCCCAGGAGACCCTCAACGAGGTCGATGAAATCTGGCAGTGGGACAAACTCTTCACCGAGGTGTCGGCCGATATCCATTCGGATAAGGCTCCCAATATTGGTGTGAAAATCGGACCCGATGTGGTGCCACCAGCTGCACAACACGCTTGAGAACTAATCGGAAAGTACGAGAATAGTGCAATAAATACTCAATTCAAATAGTTACACATATAAATATTTCATTTGATAAAATTCAATTGATCACAAAAATAAATTAGAGAGAAACTCAAAAAGCACTCTAGCATCGAAATAAAGACTGATTCTCTTTGATTTATTGAATAGGGCGTCCAACGCCATCAAAGGCTTTGTCCTTGTGATCAGCGGCATTGGCACGGGCTTCATAATTGCAAATGGTCACGCCATGATAGTGGGCCTCGCTAAACTCTCCACGAAGACCTACAATAAAGGCGATTTTATAGTTTCTGGATACATTTTTTCCTATACCCGAACCTACCGATATAGTAGATGCGCGTGTTGTCATCACCGAAACTGCTGGGAAAGTACATGGACAGATGATGGACCGAGGAAAAGTTGACCACTTTGGGTGAGTATTCAATTTCGCCGCGAGGGTCGCGCGTTAGATCAAACTCCTGATCCGGCTTCATCTTGGCATCATCGAATGTCATCTTGGGTCGATTCTTGAAGCTGCAACAAAAAAATTGTCCATTAAATATGGATTCAAACAACGTTTCCCGCCAGTATCCACTCACATTTTAACCTTATTCGGATGCGAGTCATCGTTGGCGCCACAGATGATGATGCCCTTGAGTTTGATGTTGCCGGTAAAGGGTATATTGAAGAGCAGCTCCTCGTCGGCATCGCTCTGAACAAATTTGCTCATATCCTGACGCGATTCGTACGGCTTAAAGACGGTTTTCCCGCTGCCTTCGGTCTCCTCGTTCAGACACTCCAGATTTTCCGAGTCAATTTTTGTGTACAAACTGTATTCGATGCCCATTTCCAGGGCATGGTCCACATCGGTGGCCTCGTGGCCACAGCCACCGTGGTCGTGGGAATGTCCATGCGACATTGTGTTTCGAGACTTACAATTTTATAAATATCACAAATAAAATAACAAAAATCAGTCGAATCATCAAAGGCGGCTGAATGAATACGGTCACACTTCCGCTTATTGCACAAAAATACCGATATTGTTTGCAGTTACCCTGTGAAACAACACTCATAGTGTCGGTTTGCTCATTATTGTTTTGTTGGCTAAGAGGATGGTGGAGTGGATCTACAAGAATACTACGCAAACAATATTTTATTCCGCGGTTTCACTTATTTCGGTATATAATTGGGTATTTCATAAATTTGTTGGTCTATTACGGTATGTTCTGAAAAATGACAAGTTTTATTTCATAGGGTCACACTGACAGCACGGCAGCCGAACAAAAATAAAATTGGACATTTTTTAATCTGTGTTAATCGCTGTGAAAATCGTTGATAATAATTGCATCTTGTTTAAAAATTTATAATTAACACTACAATGGCGCCCAAGGCTAGAACAGTTGGTATTAAACCGAAGTCGCAGACCTTCAAAGACAAGTCTAAGCCCAACGATGTTCGTATGTCGAACATACAGGCGGCTAAAGGTAAGAATTTACCAAATAACCAAAAGCAAAAGCTAAACATCACATAAATTCCGTGGAAAATGGTTATTTGTGCTGCATATTAGACCTGAAGTAGTGTGGGAAGTGGTTTTATGGTAAATTTCCATGGATATTTGCATTTAAAAATCGCAGTTGGACGCCGGCTGCGTCTGGAAATTTCTTAGAGAAGAAGAAGAGCAGCGCATTACTCATGTGACGAACTGTGCTGACGATGTAGCATTTTTCTGGCAAATTCTAGCTTTTATTTTCACATTTTAAGAGAGAACTAAAAGAAATGCGTGATTGATGTCTTACAGCTGTCTCCTCTGCCATCCGCACGAGCTTGGGTCCCCGCGGCATGGACAAGATGATTCAGGCCGGCAACGGCGAGGTTTCCATCACCAACGATGGTGCCACCATCTTGAAGCAGATGAATGTGCTCCACCCGGCCGCCAAGATGTTGGTCGAGCTGTCCCGCGCCCAGGACGTTGAGGCCGGTGACGGCACCACCTCGGTGGTGGTCATTGCCGGTGCCTTGCTGGAGGCCTGCGAGAAGCTGCTGCAGAAGGGCTTGCACCCGACGGCCATTTCGGACTCGTTCCAGCGCTGCTCCAACAAGGCTGTGGAGATTCTCACACAGATGGCCACGCCCATCGAGCTGACGGATCGTGAGACCCTGATCAAGAGCGCCTCCACATCGCTCAACTCCAAGGTTGTCTCGCAGCAGAGCAGCCTTCTGGCCCCCATCGCCGTGGACGCCGTGCTGAAGGTCACCGAGCCGGGCAAGGAGACCTCCGTGGATCTTAAGAACATTAAGGTGATCTCCAGTCTGGGCGGCACCGTCGAGGACACTGAGCTGATTGATGGCTTGGTCTTCACCAGCCGCTCGGCCGGCACCAATGCCCCCAAGCGCCTCGAGAAGGCCAAGATTGGTCTCATCCAATTCTGTATTTCGGCTCCCAAAACCGATGTGAGTAGTGGGGAAGGCTTTCATCAGTTGATCCATATATGATTCGATGTGCGTTCTTTTACAGATGGATCACAACGTGATTGTTTCGGATTACGCCGCCATGGATCGTGTATTGAAGGAGGAACGTTCCTACATTCTCAACATTGTCAAGCAGATCAAGAAGGCCGGCTGCAATGTTCTGCTGGTCCAAAAGTCTATCCTCCGGTAAGTCGAGATTAAGCAGAGCCTCTCTGAATCACTAATCAATCTGTTTCGTTCCACAGTGATGCTGTTTCGGATCTGGCGCAGCATTTCCTGGACAAGATCAAGTGTATGGTGGTCAAGGATGTGGAGCGTGAGGACATTGAGTTCGTCTGCAAGACCCTGCACTGCCGTCCGATTGCATCGTTGGATCACTTCACCGCCGAGAATCTGGTCAGCGCCGAACTCGTGGAAGAGGTTGCCAGTGGCACCAACAAATTCGTGAAGATCACCGGCATCCAGAACCAGGGACGCACTGTGTCGATCATTTGCCGTGGATCCAACAAACTGGTGCTGGAGGAGGCAGCCCGTTCCCTGCACGACGCTCTCTGTGTGGTGCGCTGTCTGGTGAAGAAGCCGTTCCAGATTGTGGGCGGTGGCGCTCCCGAGATCGAGATGTCGCTGCAATTGGCAGCTGTCGCCCAGACTGTGGAGGGTGTGGATGCCTATTGCTTCCGCGCATTTGCCGATGCCCTGGAGGTCATTCCCTCGACGCTGGCCGAGAATGCCGGCCTCAATCCCATTGCCACTGTCACAGAGCTGCGCAATCGTCATGCCCAGGGCGAGAAGAATGCCGGCATCAATGTGCGCAAGGGTGCCATCACAGATATCTATGCAGAGAATGTGGTTCAGCCGCTGCTGGTCAGTGTTTCGGCCATCACCTTGGCCACGGAGACGATTCGCTCCATCTTGAAGATCGATGATATTGTAAGTACTTCTTTTGCTCTCTAAGTAATCAACTCTCACCGCTTAATATCTCCTCTATTTCAGATCAATACCTTCAGCTAAATACTGGGCCTCCGCCGCCTGCAACTTCAGTCTCTGATCACGATCAAGCATTTTCCCCTTAACGCATCCTCATCATTTATTCTCCTCACCTCTTACACCCTTATACATCATGCGGCTGCGCATTTAATTTGAATAAAATTCACACTACACTACGCCTTACCACTCTAATATGTATTAAAAAGCGAACTAAAAGAATTAAATATTGCGCTAACACAACACAACACAACAGAGAATGTGTTTACTCGTTCTTTAAAATTTCATTATATACAAGATATGAAAAAGTACAAATATCTGACGAATGGCCCCGTTTAAGGATGTTCTTCCTTAAATTTGAATGGAAATGGATATACTAGGAGGTATTCAAAAGAATTGCAGATATGATGCGTATGATTATGAAAGAATAATCAAAGAAAACATTCGAATTATAAGCGAGAGGAAATCATTCACACTGAATAAGAGGTTTGAGAATAAGAAAAATTGAGAAAGTTTCCAAGTAGGATAAAAGAACAGAGGATGCATATCTTCTTGGGGAAAACTATTGAAATCTGTTCACGCCATAATGCTATAATGTTTATTCCCTGATCAACATGTATGTACTTGTACCCCGACAACATTATTCAGTCCGTGCGTGCTTTGTTCCATTAAATAATAGCTGGATATGGTTCTGTTATAAGCGGAACCTTTACATTTCTTCAAATAAAGTAAAATATGTAGAAATAGCTGCTGCAACTCGTTGGCAGATAATAACGCTGAAAATCGGAGCACTGATCCAGAAAGAAACTAAAACACAATAAATTTTTCCGTTCAAGATATGAATTTATTTGAAACAAAATTAAATGATATTTTCGTTGTATGGTTTTACAATACTAAGTGATTAATGCAAAGAATAGGTGCTCTTGTTTAAACTTTGAAAATACGGTCGAGCATCCATATTTGTGTTTCAGCCTGATTAAGGTTAGACATTAGGCGTACAGCTGCAACGCGACATTTTTCAAGCTCCCCATGTTGCATGCGATCAAAAATGTTATTTCCATTGGCCAAAAAGAAGTCCAAGTTTCCAAATTTGAGATGATTCACCAAACAGGACCACATCTTCACAAAGAGAGTGTGAAGATTTTCATTCCAATCAACGCGTCCCAGTTGATGGAGCAATACAGTTTTCAGCATGTAACTTGATAGATGCGGCAAATCAGACTCGTGCGCGTCACGCAAACCCTTCATAAGGCGTAAAACATTTTTGAAATTATTCAAATTCCTTGTTGTTTCACGCTCCCAATGCGGGGCACACACTATAAAAGTGCGCTCGTCCCAGGAGCCCCGCTTCGATTGCGGTACAGCGAACCACGGCCATTTAGAGCGCACTTCGGTAGATATTGGTGGCACGTCCAACGGCCACTGAGCCCAAGTAAACTCGAATGCTGGCACTAAATCGAACCATATGGTGCGACTCCTTCCTTCAGCTTCAATGGTGTGGGCACATCCGTAGCCTTTCGCAGTATACCTTACTTCATAGACTTCTCCAGTGCTGCAACGAAGACGTAGGTTTGATGTGAACACCTCATTGAATGCATCGCGTAACCACGCCTGTAAATTCTTGCGATCTACGTAATTGTTGGCTAGGATCGGATGCTTGTAGTTATTTGCACACAAGAACACGAATCCCTTCTCGTCTTTCTTCGGGATGATTGGGAATGGCAATTTCAACTTCATATGCAAATCAAATTCATCAGGGGTCTTCAATTTCACCCTATCCAAGTAGCTTCCTGAAAGCAACAAAGAATTACCGCCTTGATTGGGGTCTCCGCGGGACCAATAACTTACCTGCAAGGCTAAGGCCATCAAAAGCCTCGCGAAAGCTAGAATCTGCCGACTTTAGCTTTTCAATCACATAATTTTGGATTTCGACAGCATCCTCTGTGTAATTGGAGCGTTCGCCGTCGGAAATACGCAAATTTTGCAAAATACGTTGAAGTGTGTGGTCAAAACCCATGATTAATTTCGAGCAAAAGAACCAAGAAACAGCCGGCATTTATGGTATCGATAAAGTACTTATTCTTTAAAATAGTAAAGCCTAGTACTCAGATCGAAAAAAACACCTCGCGAACAGAATCAGGGTTGATATTCGTATGAAACCGATAAGAAATGTTTTACGGAAAAAACTGTTTTCTAGGCTCTGTACGGCCGTTTTCACCGTTTTCGGCTCGTTCAATATTTAAACAAATTTCTGGAGCCCTGTACTCAGATCAAAAAACAAAAAGGTCGGTATATACTGGAAAAGTATCAGAAGTATTTGCTTGTTTTTTTGGTATGTTTCGACCCACCTCGAAAAAGATATCAATTTGATATCTTTTGCCAGCAAACACAAAGCAAACATTGCAATAAGGGAACAAAAAACCAAATGAAATATTTTAATAATGAAGACAAATAGAATCTAATTAATGCAGCATTATATAAAGGGCAATTATATAATATCCATATAATATATATAATATATGTATAATATACTATAATAATATAATATTTTTATTAATTTTCATAAATATAAAACAAATATTTCTTTCAAAACAGTGCGTCGCCATCTGCTGCTGCTGATAGTCAGACACATTACCTTGCCAATAAAATATTGGGGAGCCCAGGATATGCCTGGGGAAGAGCGGCCCCAGCCGAAGAAGTGCATTTTGTTAACTTAAATAGTAAGGGTATACATCTCAAGAAATTTGTTTAAATATTGAAGGAGCCGAAAACGGTGAAAAAATATATCGCTCCCGAAAACGAGCTGGCAACAAATTATCTTTTAATATCTATATATATATTCATCACTGCCAGCTGTAAGCTAACATTATCCTGCTATCTGAGTCTGTCATCAACGGTTGTAAAACACAAACAAAATTAAACCAGCTTCTTCAAATTTGGACCGAAATCAGTGGACAGATGCATGCTGACAGAAGTAAGTTGCTCTATCAGATAAGAGGCGGGAAACATTTGTTTGTTTATCAAACCTATGTATATGTATTTGTACATATCTCTCTTTATGTGGTATGTACATATATATCTTTTTTTCCCCCTTAAGTACTAAGAATTTTGTTTCCTGCAGATCTTCCAGGCCTCTATCTCCCAGTCCTCCCTTCATCTGTCACCCATTACCGCCTGAGCCTGCTTGAGAAAAATTGGCAAACGATGTCAACAGCTGTGACTCAACAAAATATGACAAGAAAAAAAAACTTAAAGTTTTCTTGTGTAGTTTCATAATTTGCATAATGCGCCACGCAAACAATTGACTGGTGGAGGGGCTGCGCCGGAAGCTGAATCAAAATTGTTCAAGCGAAAATTAAAAACACCCGAGACATCTTGCAGTAAGCCTTAGCAGTACTTACCATTACTGGTAAAGAAGGCAGTGAAGTGTGTGGGGAATTGTACACAAGAGTGGGAAAACTATTTAATTGAACGACCAGAGCATAATAGGTCCTTTATTTCATTCACATAGAATATATTTTTATTGGTTTTTAGCTTATTTCTTTTGTTCTGAAGCGTTTATCGAAAGCGAAAGAAATTGTGTAGTAACAAATCTGGATTGAACTGCCCTTGGATATTTTCTTTATACGAACCACTACTGCCCCAATCTCTCTTCATCACGATACATTATATACACAAGTATACCTACTGTATAACGAATGGGAAATAACGAAAAAATAGTGCCCTGAACCGCAGTAACAGTAAGTTAGTCAGAAGTCTCACTCATCAATTAGTCAAGACACCGCCCAGCCATCACTTATTACTAATTCACGCCTACAGCAAGGTTTGGGGAAACAGGACAAAAAGAGAATAAGGACCTAGAGAGAGAGAGAGCGGTAGACCAAGTCATTTGTCACTGTGAAATTTATTAAAATGATTATCTCGTATCTACATTTCGCACGGAATGCCTAATTTTTTCCTCAGGTCAACACGACACGCTCATTGTACTTTTTCTACGGCCTCTTCCGTTGTGGTTTGTTTTTATTATTTTTTGTTTGTGGCTCCTAAGGCTTGAGGCTGCCTATCCACCCTTCGAGCCAAACTGTTTTTGCCATTTTGAGGCCACTGATAAGGCCACAAGTGCGTACGGTGTGTAGATTCGTTGGGTCTTTTGTCAGGGCCATAGTTTAAGCGTACAATTCCCATTCCAGACCTACCCAGGAGCCCCCTCAGGGCAGGGCAATTAGTTCAACTGCGCCCTGGGGAATAGTGATAATTAAAATGCCTTTGCTGTTGCCTCTGCTATATGCGGAAATATTTTTTTAACCAACTAATCTGATTGTTCCTATATCAACTCTCTGCCAGCTCTCCCCGAGTGCGTCTTCGTGTTCTTGTCGTAGTCTCTTTGTGCAAGTGAAACAGAACCAACATTTGCATTCAATTTGATGGTAAAAAGCACTTTAATTTATTTACCCCCATTGAAAGTCATTTCATTCTAATCCTATTAATTCAAATTCAAATTCAAACACTTTTACCCCATCAAATAGAATTGCTTTCCGAGGGAATGGCGATGGATGATGAAGGGATGGCAATGCGTGTTTGCTTGGCAAAGGGACTTGGGGCTGTGCTTTTTGTTTGCCAAAAATATAAAAAAAATTGAATTGCATTGTTTTTCACTCAGAAAATATTTTGTCCGTTACCAGTCCTGAAGCGAGTGCTGCGCAGCGCTGTGCTGCGAATCCGAATTGGCTTTTGTGTTCTCAAAAGCGATTTCTTTAGGGCCAACCAGCAAGACCAGGACCAGGAAATCGACAGGGACTTGAATAGGGACATGAAAACGGACACACACCCTGACTGGGTACCTGATGCAATCAAAAAACCAAACCAAAAACCCAATCAGAGCGACAGACTTCTTTTCGAATGACTTTTTGAGTGTGCTCGATTTTGATTATTACTGAGTCTCTCTCTCACTGAGTCATAGTGATGGAGGAAATGGATTTACAACAATGAAAATTCTTTCAGGTAAATTACCAAAATTATGGAAATTACCGAATTTTCTATTTACTTCTGGCAAGGGCAACTCTTAACGTATGTTAAAGATCTGTAAACACACTACAAATTTGGAGAAATGAGAATTTATTTGTTTTAGAACATTTACATATTTTCCCACATTTGGGTTTAATTTGCTTAAGAAGGAGTAACAATTATGGCTAAATTTGGTAATGGAATGAATTTCTAATTTGATGCAAAATTTGGGAAGAGGAAGAGCTCCTCCTTCTCCTACCACCCGAAAATCAGCAATCCTTAACTGTTATTCTAGCCAAAAAATGTATGAAAATTTAAATTTAATTTCTACCACCACCCTCTCTTTGATCCCCAAAGGCCATCCATGGCGATGCCTCATTTGAATGCAGTTCCTACTTCAGCGAGCCGCGCGCCGTCCACCATAATGAAGATGAATTTTTGTAGATTGTGTATTTTTCCAGTTCGTATAACAATTTTCTTGCCAGAATCTTTCTGTTTGGCCAAAGTTACAGCCAAGTTGATTTTTGGGGTTTCATTATGCTGTAGGCATGTAATGCCAAGCGAAATGGATATTTATCTATAGATACATACTCGTATACATATGCATATACCATGCTATATACATTTTTTTATAAAGCTCTATATATCTCTCCCTCTTTAAGTTGTTCTGCTGGCAGCTTTTGAGGCTGGGGAGCCCCATTAAATATGCAGCAGACGCTCCTAAAACACGTATCATCCTCGGATGCTCCTGCTTCTGCTGCTACTGTGGTTTCGCACTTTCGTTCCTCTAAATGAGTTTCAGCTGCAAAATTAAAAACTTTATCAGAAGCAGTCAACACACAGATGGGGAGGGGAGTAAGGTGTGTGTGTGTTTGTGTGTGTGAAAAAACTTGAAACTTTTTCATGAAGTTAAAGCAAAGTAAAATCAAATTATTGTGGTTGCTCGCAGGCTGGCAAAAGGATTACGCGATGGCGGCTGCCGTGGGAGCATTCCATATCCGAAAGCAGCTCCTACACGATACCTTTACCACTGAAACATTTACACTATTCACATGCTATTCATACCTAAGTCCAGTCATTCCAGAACAAGTTCTTACATTGTTTCGGTAATATTGCTGAAATGTGTTGATTTTATACATTTTTTCACGAAAGTTGAGAATGGTTTACCCTTGAAATATTGGTGGTGTATATTTCTGGTAAAATCACGATGGAAAACGAATCGTGTACGACTGTGTACGCCCCTGTCTTTGCCTTTTTCCACCTGCTGTATATGTAACATTGCCGGCATTGCATTTTGGGAGCACAGACAGGCGGGAGCCGAAGCCGAAGCCGGTCGTGGCCAGAGCCACAGCCAGACAGTTAGACTCGCCTGGCTGCCTGTTCACATGGAGTTGGCGCATTCTAATTGAATTTTCACTTTTTTCCTCCCAGCCGCCCAGCCGAAGCCCCGAAGCCTTGCAGCCCCAATCTCCATCCCACCCTACGGCCCAGGTAGGACTACGTGACGATGGCATGGCACAGAAATTGAAATAATTATTTTTAATCTTAAGTACGACTTCGCGTAATGAGATTTGGATTATCTCTGCACCCCTTTTTTGTCGGCATCCAGAAACATATATCCCTGCAACACATGGATAAAAAAAAACTGCTTACTACGAGACGCATAAAAAAGCGCAGGGTGCGTCTGTGTGTGCTGGTATTGTTGGGCTGTGCAAAGTCTGAAATAAAAGTATATTTTGGGGTGTCTAAAATTGTGTGAAATTTGTGAAAATTGAAGGACTTGTGTGTGTTGCAGTGAATAATGCCAGCAAGTCGAAAGAGAGCCCAGTTGCAGCGTCGCGACGGATGAATAAACCAACAAACATGCGAAATAGTAGAGCAGAAATAACAGGCGAACACGCTAACGAAAATGTGCGTGTGAGCATGTCGCAATGGCGGGAATCCCTCTCACTAATCAACAACGACAATTGTAACGGAAACAAGCACGCTGGAACACAACTGACATTCTCAGAGAAAATGATAGACAACGCACACAAGTACATCGAGCATTTACATCCGCTTCGTTTGTTTGTCTCGCCGGGGTTTCTCGGTTTCCGGGAATTTAGAATTCCATTAAGAACTATATTTATTTTTATCTATAACTGAAATTTACATTTATAATATACCATAATAGACAAATTCAGTTAAATTCATTTACTTTTTGTCACACTTTTGAAGGTTGCGACGACCGCAGCTGCGGCAGCGAAGGAGACAGTTGCTACAAAAGCCATTATTTTCCTGGTTGATGGCTGCAAGGCTCCTGATAGCACTACGATTACGATGACGCACAAGAACCTGTGAGAGAGAAACAGGTGTAGTAATGTCGTCGCTGTCGCTGTCCTCGAAGCCCTCGACGAAGTTCAGCAGCTTCATGGCGGTGGCCACACGATGTCGAAGCTTCTTTTTGCTCTCCGACTGTAACGACTCTATATCATCTGGCAGGAAGTCGTTTAAATTCTCCTTCTTCTCCTTCAAATTCTCCGTTGCCAAATTGGCTGCTGCATCCAGAGCGGATGCCACTCGAGCCTTTTCCAACTCGTTCAGATCCCCCAGACTGCGAAGACGTACTGGGTTGGGTTTTTTAACACGACGGGCGACAACAGAGCTGCGGGGCTTGCTTTTGGCGATTTTTGGTTTATTTGCCATTGTTAGAAATTAATTTGGACAATTTTCTAGACACACAGAAAAATGAAACTGAATGAAATGTACTTTATATTTTTGATATCGTTTTGGGATCAGGCTTCCGTTTTTGATTTCCTTATGTTGGCCTACGTTGATGCATAAATTTGAGGCAGGCGGGGTGGAAAAGTTTTCCCCGCCCCGGCAAATATTGCATTTTCATTAAGTTAAAGTTTGGTTTTTAGTTTAATTTTGTTGGCTTACCCTTTACTCCCCGAATTCTGTGGCTGCTGCTGCTTTTTGGCTGCGCGTTTACTTAAAAAGTTTTTGCGGCAAGTTTTTCGGTTCAAAGTTTCCATGCGATGCGTCTGTCTATCTATCTGTCTGTCAGTGGGTGTGTGGGTGTGTGCGTGTGAGTGTATAGGTGGATGGATCTGTTGGTGTGTGTTTCGGGTGTATAGGTGTATTTGTGCGAGAGTGTGTAATAATCATGTGCGCAGTCAAAGCCAAATGACGATAGCATTGATGCCATGCCATGCCTAAAAACTTTTGACAGGCATCTTGCCACAGGCCAAGTTGCAAGCTGCCAGCTACAGAAGCTCAAGACCTCTGACATTTTCCTAGGGCGTCTTCTCTGACGTGCGTGTTGCTGAATTCTCAGTTCTGATAAGCTGAAAATTAAAAAAGACAGAGTCAAAGTTAAGGTATCCAAGATACCAATTCATAGATCCACTTAAAAATACAATTTAAAAGATGAATTGGGATTAATTTCAATATAATTTAGAGAAGTTCGAATTTCAATCAATATAAATCTATCTTTGATTTCCTGGGAGAGAACACAATTAACATTGGGTAAATTAAGGAGCCAAAAGAGATTTTTTCTTATTTTATTATCCATAATTTGATTTGAGAGGCGATTGTTTTGTTTATATTAATGTATGTATATGTATATGTATGTATATTATATTATATGATATTATATTATATTATATTATATTATATTATATTATATTATATTATATTATATTATATTATATTATATTATATTATATTATATTATATTATATTATATTATATTATATTATATTATATTATATTATATTATATTATATCATATATACATCAGTTTATATATATGCATTAGTATTAACTTACATTTGTGTCTCGCTTTCTTTTTTTTGAGAAATAGACTCAAGTACAACTATTCAATGATAAAAAAGTTAATGTTAAATAATGGTAAAATAAATAACTTTTTTACTTTATTTCTTATTCATTTCTTATTTTTCATTATTGGCTCACCAAAAACTTAAACAAACAAAATTCTGTGAGTTTTCATTATATTCATTTGCTGACTTTGTGGTTGCTTAAAAATAAAGGAAAAAACAAAAATTTAATAAAACTCAAAAGTCAAATTGAAATTCATTTTCACACTTGGCCGATCGCATACAATAACTAAAAATTTAACAATTCTTTCTATTCAATCACTTTTCCACACTCTTTTTTCGATTTATACACATACATTTTTTTTTAGCTTTCTTTCAAAATGAAATGAATAAAATATTAGCCAGCTAACAGACGAGACTCAGAGAGAAGTCCGTTGCCTATTTGTCCTTTTTTTTCCTTTTTGTTAATAAACTTTGGCAAGTTCATCAAAAATCTTTGGCTATCAATGCAGGAATGGGGAAATAAAAAGAAATTGCATTTTTTATGTAATTTTTGTTGGTCCATTGCAGTTGGGAAATGTGATTGTGAAATGGAAAAGGTTCCGGCTAAAATATTCTTTTGTGCATTTCACGCGCTGATTTTTGGTTTGGGACTTGAATTGATCTCCTCTCTTTTCCATTTTAACATTGTGTGCGGTGTGTGCCATAAAAAAGAAATTAAATGAAATTTCTATGATGAATTATTTGTTATTTTAGTTGCATTTTGGGGCTAAAGAGATTTTATCCTGTCAAGGGATGAATATTTGTGTAACGTATTCGATTTTGAGAGGAGTCACAGGTTTCAGAACGATTCGAGATTTGAGAACCAGACAGCAGACCACGTAGTCGTTTTATATTTATACACCCAGAAATAATTCAACTTTACCCCATATTTTCCTAATAATTACAACGATTTTCGCTGGTTCGATTATAGAAATTTTCATTAAGCTTATGTAAAACCAAACAGAACAATTAAAGCCATAAATTATGCAATTCCAAGGAGAACAACTTTAATACTCATCATTAGAAATATATATGTATCATGTTTACCCCAACCAAAATCCGGACTTTCACATAATTACTTGCTCTATTTATTTATGTGTACGCATACATATGTAACATGTATGTGGCTATCTCTTCGTGAAACTACACGCTCTCTCTCCATACACACTCTGTGAGTGTGTTCCAACTCGTTGACCTAGATATTGGCACAGGCCCTTGAGCACTCAACAACTTGTTGGGTCATCGCTTCTGCCCAACGGGCAAAAAGTGTTACGTACTGGGTACAGGACACTCGTAGCCTGGACATTGAGCACCGAGGACCGTGCATCGTCCTCTCGACCTGCACTAAGCACGTCATTACGTTGGCTCAACTCTCCGATCATTTTTAATTACCCGCCCAACCGGTTCGCCTCCTCCTCCTCCTCCTACTCCTACTCCTCGTCCGCTCCTGCTCCACAGTCTTTAGTTCTTTTTTATGCCATTAATTCCTTTAATGGAATGCTGCATTAATAAAAAATATGTTATGAGCGCATAATAGAAATAAAAGCTAATGTAATTACATGCCGCACTTGCTTCCCCTGTTGCACTGAAAAGTATTTCCCATTCTCATTCTCTCGAAAAATACTCAAAGTTTAATTCAACAGTTAGAAACCGTTGAACGGTGAAAAGGAGCAAGAAAGGGTATATCAGACTTAAAGTAAGGCACCATGCGACCACCCGCTGTTGCCATAACAAATACGACTAGATCCAAAACAATATTAATTATATTATATATTATATTATTGAATATAATTTAATAATGGTGTGTACTAAAACCTAGAGACCTTCGTTGCCCTACAGGGCATCAGCTAACTTTTGCATTTCTTTCACCAGCGATTTCCTATAGTTTTTTTTTCCTTTTCCTTTTCCATTTCCATTTCTTTATTTTATTTGCGACGTTTAGTCCCGCTGCTGTTGTCGTCATTCTTGCTGCAGTTGCTGCCTGAACTTCTGTTGGGTGCTTAAAAGCTTTGCATTAACTATTAAACGCAACTTGAATCGCATAACGGCACTTGGCACACAAACAGAGTCAGTGGGTAGAAGGCAGAGAGTGGGAGTGGGTGAGGTAGGTGTGGGAGAGTGTAGGGGAAGTGCAAACAAATAGAAATTGGTGTCAGCGAAAATGGCCACGGGGGCCTCAAACGGCGAAGGCGTCCAAAATATGGCCAAAGGCAGAACATTTCCGCGCTTATTGTTGGATGATTTGCGCCAATAAATTGGAAGCCAACCAAAAAGCAGGTAAACAAATATACAAAAGACATGGGGAGCGAAGTGGAGAAAGAGCGAGGCGAAGCACCGAAACTGAAGGCTTTCCACTAAATAAATTTTTATTATACCCGCTATACATAGAATGCAGGGGTATATTGTGTTCGAGCAAATGGTGGCAACAGCTACAACAATGCGCTTTTGTCTGTTTGAACACCTGGTTTTTTTGAGAGGCTCTACAGAGACTAGAAACAGATATTAAAATTATAAATTTATTTTACAGTAAATCCCTATAGTACTATATCTACACATTTAAATATATAGGCATCCGAATAATTTTTTTTATATATTTTACTAAATTTTATAGATAATTATCTATAATTTAATCAAAGCTGTAATGTGGCTGTAAATATCTACGGAGTACCAGGTACCTCAACATAGAGACACTTGACTATAGCTTTTTCTGATGTTTTTATTTTGTTTCTTGCTCTCTTTCTCTCGCCTAAAAAGAAGGCGGCACGCGAAATGTCCTGAAAAATTCATCGAGTTGGGAGGTTGTTGTCGAGCGCTGTAGAGTGTTGAAGGGATGTAGAAAAAAGTAGCGCGTGCATTTTTCCCGGGAAAAGGAGTTGGAAATTTGAAGCTGTTAGCCTGACAGGTTGCAATGCTATAAAATGCAATCAACTGCAAAGAAAATAGGTTTTGCTTCACCAAACAGATACACGAAGAGCGGAGAGAGAGAGAGAGAGAGGGGAACGAAAAGAGCAGAGACCATCCGTAGTAACTGTTTCTGCTCCTGATTCTGTTGATGCTGCTGCTCCGGGATCCTGGCTCCTGGATGGCATAAATTAAAGAGCAACAAGAGCAAACAGACGCGAGGCATATTAACCAGCACACACACACAGAGGATAGAGGGGAAAAAAGGGAGTTGTAGAAAGACCGAAGGACTGAGCAGACAAACAGATTGTGGGTTGACTGCGGACATTCATGGGACACTGGAACTACTCGTACGTATAGAGCAGGGAGCTGACAGAGGGGAATAAGTAGACAAGAACACAATGAATAGGCGTGTATTAGGACTAAAAAATACCCACTACTGAAACAAGAACTGACATTAAAATAGGAAAATATGCTCAGAATTTTATCGGAGTGGCAAAGGCCTATAAGTAGCACATGTATTAATTATTTGAATATGTGTAATGTATTTATGAATCGAATGGAGTGTAAAAAAAAAATTAATCTGCTTATATTGTACATTGAAATACATTCAATGTATATAAAATACAATGTACCCTTGAAATCCACGAGTACCGTGTAGAACAATACCAGAAGGCTTCAAAGTGCTGACAACTTTCTTGTTGAATCTTGCCAGAGGCTCAGTCGAGTTTAATTGGTGCCTGTCATCAAACTAGACAAATGCAAATTGGCGTAGTGAAATGTGAGACAAGAAACTAATAGAACACACATTATTGCACCTATTTATGTAGTATGTACAATATACATAGTATATCTGTATATATGTACACACATATATCCGCAACAGGGTGTAAAACCGTTTCCGATTTAAACTTTAAGCTTTCTGTCATTAAATTATTAAAGCTGGGTGCTATGAAACTAGTGGAGCTGGTTGCTATGAAACTATAAGAGCTGGTTGCTATGAAACTATAAAGCTGGCGGACATGAAACATTGGGGATGTGCAATTTGTTTCCGTTTTCTATGAAATTAAAATTCATTCTACTCAATTGACACTAGTAAAAATGATTAATCTTGCTCTTTAACAAATTAGACTCTACTTTCTACAATCGTCTTATTCTAGTACGTAATTCTGTAGTATTATTTCTCTCCGAAATCAATTTCGATACTTGAGTTTATCCCATTTATCCGACTGCGACTAATTCCCCATCTTTAATTAAAAGTATCCTCCTGCTTCTCTTACTACTTCCACTGTAATTACTCCTATGGCGACTTCGACTCAATCAATTGATGAAGTTATCTTTAGTTAAGAAAAAACTGGGAGTATTCTAAAGACCAGTGACAGTTATTCAATTTAATGTCCGTCAAATGGCTTTGCTGGAAAGAAAGGGAGTCCAGCTTTGAGTAAGTAAGCCAAAAACGAGAACCCATGGCCTCAACCCAGAACATTCCGCTGCAATGTGAATTTGAATTGCAATTGCGAATGGCCGCGTGCTGGAAATTAAATAAAACACTCCCAACGGGGGGGGGATTGGGTTGAGGATTGGTGGCTATGTACGACGTGGAGGACGTGGAGCACGAGCCACAGATACAAACTTTGTCATAGGGAAAAGTTTTTCGCTGCACACTGAACCAAAATGAAAACGTAGCCGAGCGTGATGAGCCATGGAAGGGGAAGCGAGCACCGCACCGCACCGCCACGACGAGGATTGAGGGATGAGGGATGGGAATGGGACCAGGGTCAGATCCCGTCCTGCACATCTGCACACAGAACAATCAACATCAAATAGAGCCACAGGCTGATGTTGCATCAAGCACAATTTAATTGTGTTTTACCAAAACTAATCTACGCCAAAATGTGAACAACAATCCATGAATAGTCAAAAACTCGAACATGATAAATCATCAGGAAGCTTTGGCTCCACAATTCCATATTCGAAAGTTCTCTCTACTCCCATAGATTTATCATCCCGTACTGCCAAAGCTGTCCAGTCCCATTCCCAGACGGTTGAATCAATTGCAGTTTTTGGTTAGCAGCTGTCCGAATATGATTTTTGATGAAACACCAACGAAGTGCCCGGGCGGAACCACTTAGACCTGTTATTAGGCATCATAATTCTTGTGTAGACAACGAGCAGCTGCCACTTTTGGGTCCTCGAACGGACAGGACATCTATCAATTTGCTGCACACCCACATAACTCTCATCCCACAGTCCATGGCATCTCCCATTCCGTCGCTCACTCACTGAACGAGAGCCTGCATAAGAAATTTAAATAATTTGCAGAACACAAAAAAAATGGATGAAATGTGAAGAGAATGCGTGTTGCAAGAGAGACGACTCGCTGGTACTCAGTAGATTGAGAAGTGTATTTTTTTAGTGGAATAAAAATAGAGACGAACAATAGGACAACAATTGTTGGAGTACATAATGAGAATAATCGAAAAGCGACGGAAAGCGAAGGAAGCTTAGTATAGGAAGCGGACAAAGAAAAGCAAGGAAAATTTAATTCGTAATTCATTTGCTAACATTTCCCAGTTTCTTTGAATTCGTATTCATCCAATTCACTTTACAAACTTCAATGGGTATTTAGAGGAAAAAAGAAATCACATCAACACGTTGATAGGTGGGCAGAGCGAAGGATGAAGTTACGGCCATTTGTCAGAGTCATGGAACCATAAATAAAACAAATAATACGAAAATATGCAAAATAAAGAATATAATAAAAAGAACAAGTATCGAGGAGCAGAAACGGCAGGAACAGGCAGGAAAAAGGATCAAGATTGGGGGACCAAAAAGCAGAAATGGTGCGGATACATTTGGTCTAATAGATGGACTGAACGAAATGGGACCGAAACCCCTAGGCTCGGAATGTGTGTGTGTGCGGGAGCGTCAAACAAATGGCCGATGACCCATAATAAAAATTATTATGAATGATACAAGAACAAGAAAAACCCATTGGGCTACTGGGCTGGGCTACAGTCTCCCATAGCGGTCTCTGGTTCCACCCAATAAATTGAGATGCGTACAATGGAGTGGGTGTGAGTGGAGTGCCCCCTGCACCCTTTGGGACTTGGGATGCCTTGGACGCGATGCCATCGCAATGTCCGCTTTAGAATTATATTTGGGCTCTGTGCCAGGGCACGTGCATCAAGATTCAATTGAGAGTTCTAAACACAAAAATGGAAACTGCGCTACAATGTTGCCTCCTCTTTTGCTTCCTCTTTGTGTGTGCACTTTTAAGAGGCATTTGAGTTTTTGTGGTAACACTTTGTTGCGATTCAAATTTAAATTCTTGGTAAGATTTTCGTATGATTGATTTAAAGGAATACACGAGTGCAATATCAAACAAAATATATATATGGTATATGGCTATTGGAAATTGTTGTTCAATCGCTGAGTAGATCTGGGGGATCAATGGACTTTCAAGAATAAATTAGTAAATCAGTAAAATCATTCACATTCTGACAGTCTTCTAGTGCTATTCGTTTGCCAAGTTTTGCCCATTTTAATCCCTTATATTTCTATATGCCTTGTCAAACTGGTTGCAGCGCATTGAGTGGGACAAAAGGGACACAGCTTGATCCTGTCTCTGGACTCTTGTGGACTCTAAGTGTAAAATATGAAAAATATACAACAGTGAAAAAAAAAATCACAGGAAAAAAGTAAAAAGGAAGAACTCTCTCTAAACACATTCCGCACGCTCCATTGTGCCCTTACCCACTCTCCCACTGTGTTTGTGTGTGTGTGTGTGTGTGTGTAGGGACAGACGAATGCAAATAGAGAGTGTGAGTAAATAAATAATAGAAATATTTTACTCGCAGCTATTTTGCATACTCGTATTTCCCATGCCCTGTCCAGTTCCAGTGCCAGCTCCACTTCCACTTCCATCTCCAGTTCTGGGATAGGTGTGATTGTGGTGTTCAGAGGGGGAAGCCGTTGAACCGCTTTTCGGGATATGTGAAGTGAAATGTTGTTCTGCATTGTTTACGCTGCTTTTCAAGTACTTTGGACTGTAAGTGAAAATAAATACATAAATATCAGAGAATATACATACACACAGACATCTACTAGTATATATCTATATGTCTGTATGGATTGGGTGGCTGGGCAAACTGAAATCCATTAGCTGCTGCTGCTGCTGCTGCTGCCGAGTCTCAAGAGCAATGATAGCAGAGCAACAGCGGGAGCAGCAGGGCAGCCCTGAACCTAATAGCCTCGACTCGACGTGTTGTCCCTTTCAATTATATGAGAGGCCACACCCCACACCCCACACTCCCTATTCTCCTCAAGGACTCTGCGGTTTTTATGCCCTTTTGCAGAGGGTATTACTTTTATTGCTAGAATTTCGTAATGCATTTTCTATAAAACTAAGTACTGTGTTCTTTTTAAGCATCAGGGGTAAGGATGCGAACAGCATTCACAGAATATTTATTCAAATCTTGAACTAACAATTTCCTTCTTAAACATTTCTACAAAAATTCTTTTAAAATTGCATCCACTAATCCTGCGCCTCGCCAAAGACTGTGTATTGCTGGATTTTTGGACCGAGACCGTGGTCAGAGCTATTACAGCCTTTTGGTGCCTCAAATATACAAAGATAATCATACGAGTATGAACTCCTTGTGAGAAAAATGTTACTTTTAACACAAACTCACAGCTTGAGCTTCACAAACTGCTCTTGAATATGTCTCGAGTGGAGACTCTCCACACAACCCTGCCAAAGTTGATAAGAATAGCATTTCCATAGCACATAAATAGCTATCTCATATTCAACTCATAGTTCTGCCTCATAGCTACTACCCTTACTAGCTAATGCTCTCTTAGAGTACGTAAGTCTTCGGCAGCTATTTCGAATGTTTTCGCTCTTGGTTGGCTACTCGAGAGAATTTTTCAATTTTACACGTTTCCCCAAAAGAAAAAGGCGTTGCCATAGCAACAACAACAAGAACCACCGAATCGAAGCCACCGTGGCGTTAGCTCATTGCTATTGTTAGAGGGAGTCGCGAGTGTCGGGGGAAGTAGGTGAATGGAGTGGGGCAGGCACCGATGGGAGGTGAGGTGAGTCCCAAAAGTAGTAGCCGGCAGCCAAGTGGGGGGACCCAGATCCAATCCTCATCTATTTGCCTCATGAAATTTATTGGCAACAGAATAATGCGAGGCACGTTCATTTGATTACATTAAAACGAAAGTGGCTAAAAAGGTTGGCCAACACAGAAAGAGAAATCGAGAGAGAGAGGAGAGCTACTGAACGAAAGAGAGGGAGAAAGAGTCGGGGATAGGCAGAAATTTTTAAATAAATAAATAATAAACGTGGAAGAAAATGGCATGGGAATGGAAGGGAACAGTTCCCCGGCTTATTATGCTGCAGAAGAGATGCTGCTGATACCTTGAATAAGAGGATTTCCCCATTGTCTATGCTTGCCCCGAAACAATGGCTCCAGATAGGGATAGTGTGTGCGTATGTGTGTGTGTGCTATTGGGCGTGACACTTAAACAAAGAACAGAACAGCAAAAGTGTGAGGGCCAGAACTAATCGCAAATAAATTACAGGCACTGCAATAGAATTTCACCCAACAAAACAATAAATTAACAACAATTTTTCTGATTACTCGTATGTTCAAAATCCCCACCACGGCCCCTCATTTCCGAGAAAGTGTTAAGCATATTACTTACCCGGCCTCTTTCCGTCCGGATGCGTGAAGATTGCATACTTTATCATATCGAGAAAAATCGATAGGAAGAATTATCTTAGAACCATAATGTCCACAGTGTTGCAGATTCTTCAGTTGGCTTCTTCAAAGCTTTTTCTCTACTTAGGAACAACCAAGAAATAAATTTTATATAATCCATGGAAAATGTAACAAATATGGCATGAAGAATGTCGATGGAATTTTTAGTCAGTTTTCAGTTTGATTGGTTTAATTTGTAGAAGAGTCGTTTGGAAATGTTCTGGATATATATATTAAAATAAAAAACTTAACTGTATTATTATATATATTTAATAATAATTTATATTAAATTAAATTATTAAATTATATAATTTATACATTATAAACTCCTACAACTAAATATACTGTATTATGTTTTAAATACAAAAATATAGCCAAGCAGTGGAAAGAGTACAGAGTTAAGAATTCAGTTTATAGTTCAGATATTCTTATACATATACTCCCTCAGATGGGCTCAAAATATGGCATTAATAATGGCACAATTTAGTTTAACTAGTATCCTCTGCTTCCGGTCTAAATAGTCTAGAGGAACATACATTTTATAGAAAATGATACGCATTTTAATATCTTAAAAATGAATCATGACTGGGAAGAGAACGTAAATAGAATGGAAAAAATGCGTAATAGGTCAAATTATAAAAAAATAAATTATTTCTTATAACGTAATCCTGTAATCCTACATCAAGGACATTTATTTATGTATAAGCTACATCAAAAATATAACGATGACTTTCCCGTGTTATGTTTCATGTTTCCCCTTCTTTTAGTACATATAAACTCATGTTTATATTCCGCATGGATCAATTGCCAATTAATTTGACCACAAAATGTTCCTAAAAGTTCAATGAACTAGTTAAACAGACATCTCAATTACCAGAAAAGGCATTTCTATGCACATCACACGGATAATTATCCGTGTTTTGTGTTTAGCATCACAAAACCTTCTGATAAATGATACATTATACATGTTTTTATTTATTTAACTCTAAAAAAATGTACGACTTTCAGTGGATATAAAATCAGGCACTCGAGTTAATTGCATTTAAATTTAATTAGCATTAAATGCGCACATACATATGTATGTTTATATTGTGCCATAATAGAGAGCAATCAATAGAGGCCAGAGGGATAAGGTTATAGGGTCAGAGGGACAATATAAATCCACATAATTTACCTAATTTGTGTTTTATTTAACGCTTTGTTTTCATTTTATTTATGTACATTGAACCGCAAATTAATTTACGAGTAAACTACAAAAAAAGTACCTAACAAATTTTAGCAAATCAAAATATAAAAACTTTAATACCTCGCAATAATATGTTTTTCCGTTATCTCTTTATATTTCTATTAGTTTATATTAGTGAAAATTAAAGATTAATCTAATATTCCAGATTATCTACAAAATGGGTTTTCAAATCCTAGTCTTAGATATCCGAGTTATAAAAATATTAGATAATTATAATAGGTAGATAATAGTAGATAATAAACTATAAATAAAATGTATGAGAAAATACCTAATACAAATAAGGGCATTTAAGTGTTCGGTTTTTTCTTGTACATCCATTTGATCTTTTGTGTTTTACTTTTAATTTGCTTTCATTTTTTTCTTGCAGCTATTCATGTAAATGCTGATTTATTATAGAACAGCCACTTTTCCCCAGCCCCATTTGTTGGTCCCATTAAAGTTATTAAACAAAGTGCATAAATTAACCATAAAGAGGAAAGGCACAAGAGAAAAATGTGCATCAACATTCTGATCAATTTACATGGCTCGTCTCCGCATAAATAATAAATAAATAATTTCGCTGCCTCATTACAAAAAATAATAGCAAAAAAAAAAAAAAACACTGGTATATGCGAAGAGTTAATTTATCTATGGGATGGACTGCAACTGGATGGGGACTATAAAATGCAAACGAGTAGTAAATTTAATAAATTCATTATCAGCTCATTAACAGCGCAGTGTGCAATTAAAGTATTGGCCGAAAAAACTAAGGGAAAAATGCTGACGGCGAATGAATAATGCTGTTGGCTGGACCTGCATCTGCAAAAAACGTTAAAGCCAAGCCCCACGTTTGTTTTCATTTTGTTTTTGCTGGTTGTGGATTTCCTTTCCGTAGAGCCAAAAGTGTGTGGGCGTTGCTTGGAGGCCCAGAGTCTTAATTGCAAAATAATACACACACAACCAGAGTCAAAGTTCTGGTTCTGGGACTGGGTCTTTCATCAATGCCATACACACACATAGTGCGCCTCACGCACTAACACAGATAGGCACTAATACACAGAGACACATCCATACATACGGGTGGGCGGGTGTAAGAAAGGGAAGTGGCAAAGTAAGGCGTAACTACTAGAAGCGCATGTTTCGGTTAATTAGTAAACATCGAAAAAAGGGAGGAGAGAACAAAGCAGATGGGAGGAATAAAGTAGAGAGAAAACGAACAAGCATAAAATAGTAAAGGGGAGTACCAAACACATATTTGTGTTTTGCTGTTGGGAGTTCAAACTTGGGAGTACCCCTTTTATCTCAATAACTAATTAGTTGGAATATAAACAAAGGCACCTATGAGTTTGAAGCAGTGTGGCAGAAACGTGCAATGGTGTACCAAAACATTAAGCAAAAACTAATTTAACTAGCACGATAGCTGTACAAAATGTTGAATATTTAACATTTATATTATTCTCACTCGTACTCGTTCTTCTATACTTCGGTTACTTTGTTCTATCATTCAACGATAAGGGAATAACAACATCTGTGTGGTACACCCTTACGTCTGCAGTAAAGTATTAGCTTATAATACACTCCGGGTTGTTTTCCGTTTAAGTTAGAGGGTTATAACGAAACATTTTACTCAAACATTTTCATTATTAGAAGCATAATCTTAGAAGTTTAATTGTCACTTTACTGGTTTACATGTAAACCAATCTTTTTAAATGCCTTTCAATCCAGTTAAAGCTATAGAAATTCTATAGAATACTGCTTTTGGCTTATTATTAAATATGTATTTACATATATGTATGTATCAGAAAACAGCTTTACTGAACAACCCTTCAACTGCTGGGTATTAGGCCAACAACTAAAAGAAACTGTTGCCAAAGCAAAGTGTAACATTGGCAGGTGGTAAAGGGTCAGGCGGAACCAAGAAGAGGCAAAGAGTGTTAAGCTTGAACAGTAGTTAAAGTGCTGTTGTACACTTGGAAATAAGAGGGATTTTTGTATTACTCCATCTTGACTGGAACTTTCAACAGTAATAATGTATTTATAATCGTAATTATTAATTTAGAGAAAGTGGTTTATTAAGCGTTATTTAGTTAAATTCGTCACTTTGTTTTCAGTGGATATTCTGTTGGCTATGTATATTTTTTGCTCTTTGCAGGCTCGGCATGGACACTGTACCCAATGCTTAATTTGTTGGTGTGGCCAGGAACTGCTGGGCCCAGGGCTCTCCGCTCTCCTTGAGGCAATTGAATAACATCCATGTGTGTCCGTAAGAGCACTCCCCTCTGGAGGCATTTTATTAAAGCATTAAGCATTGTATTTTATGCCAGCCATTTGTGCTCTCACTGGGGTAAAGAATGGGGATGCTACAACTTCATCTACAATAATATTGAAATAGTTGTTTCCGAAAACGTTAATTTGTGTGAGGCAAATTGTTAAGGGAAATGTTTCATTAAATGATACCAAAGTTGTTTCCCTGAATAGCCCTACAGAGGGCTTTGGGAATATGGCAGACACACACAAAATCCCGGGAAAAACAAAGTGCTTCGGGTAAATCAATCAAATTATAAATTTATATTTTTAAGAATAATGCTATTAATGTTCCATAGTTCCCCAAATGTAAATTAATTCCAAAATCCCTGGACTCAAAACAGTCCTGAGTAAAAAAGAGTTTTCAATATACATACATATTTGCAGTATGATTTCCTTTAGCACACATCTTTTAGGCCACACTATGATACGAGGATAAGTCTGTTATTTAAACGGGTTTAAAAGACACTGTAGATCAGGCCACCAGATATTGAGTACATCATCTGGCCACTTAAACCCGTTACCAGTCAGAGTTCCAAAGTAATTGGCCATCTCTCTCCCTCAATGGCCCTCTGCCATGTCATCCATCAGTCTGACGAGGACTGGCCAATGCACTTACGACAAAACCTTCTTTTCGACGAGTATTAAGAAAAAATATAAATGTGTAGGTGTGTGTAACGAATATACATACATATGTGTGTGTGTCTGTGGGTGTGTGTGTTTATGTGGTTATATGTAAGTGAATGTCTGCATAAATTGCGCCCAACGTGGCGTATACACAACGCACACCGCAAGCATACACATGGAAACATATTTCTCGCCTTATGAATACGTATTTCATATGAAATTTTTTGCCATGCCAAGAGGAAGGAAGGTTTAGGGGCATAGAGGGATGTTGTTGCAGTTTTGCAAAATGCAACACACCAATGCATAAAAATGCCATATTTCAGAATGCAAATATATTCTTTTAGCTTTTTTGATAAATGACAACGCGGTGTGGCAACGCTGATGAAAATGCCCCACACACACACACACAGAGGGAGAAAAGAGGAACAGAGAGAGAGAGAGATACGGAGTAAAAGTGTGGATAGGAGAGAAAGGGATGTTAGAGGAAACATCCTTCGTCCTTTGCATGTTGCTCGAACAGAAGCCAAACGCGTGAGCAATATGAAGCGTGCTGAGGCTTCTATTACTGTTACTGCCACAGTTACAGACTACACTCAGCGAAAAAAAAATACCAATATGTATTTTAAACAATAAATAATGTATTCCTTAATTAATGGCAATCGAGTCTTTCGTTGCCAGAATGTTGTTAAAGCATCGGCTAACCGCTGAAGATCATCCCTTAAACCTCAATGGGAGGTCCAGCACCTAAGCATACGTTTTAACATCCTGACCTGACATCTAATAACTTATATTTGTTTCTTTTGAAATCCCCAAAAACCCCTTTGATTCATGGTGCAAATAAATATTTTTGAGATTCATACAGTTTGATCTTCATGTGGCACATCTTCAAGTTAAAGATATTAAAACGATTGGAATAGTTTCAAATTAAA